TAATAAAATTGATTTCAAATGACACATTGACATTCTTGAGTCAATAATAACTCAATTTGACGCGTTTTAGTGATATCGCAATACTTCGGAATTATTTAATTCTTTTTGAAAATCCTCTCACTACTCAAATTGAGGAACAGAAATTAGAATTTCAAGAGGAACTTTGCCGTCTTCAAACTGATTTTTCCCTTAAGGCGCGGCCAGAAAAAGGAATTGATTTTTTTAAGATTTTAAAGCAATCTACTTATTCTCTTTTAATAAATTTCAGTCTTCGTATTTTTTCTATGTTCGGCTCCACATATCTATGCGAGAGTTCTTTTTCTAAAATGAAATTAACGAAAACGGATAAACGTTCTTCTTTAAATGATGCATCTTTATCCTCTTTAATGCTAGCAAGCACTTCAAACTTTGATGTTGATATTTCATCACTTGTACAGTCGCACAGTATTCGAAAATTGCTTTAATTTCTTCTTCTTTTTAAGTTCCCATTGCCGATCAAAAGTTGCTGTTTTTCTCTTCTTCTTCAGTGGAATAGGCCTACAGGGGATATCACTTTTAAAAAAACGCGTCGGCAATAGTACCTCATGGGTGACGCGGAAACCTATTGTGTACCTTCTAATTATAAAAATATAAGAAAAAATATATATATACTTGTACAAGTTTGTACGAAATATTATACATATAGTCGTATCGATATATTTATTTTTCAGCCTTTGAGGTGCGTTAAAGGAGCGCGCTGTCAATGCTAACACGTTATTCTATCTTTATCGCTCATTACATGTACAAGGATTGAATGACGCGTTAGCGTTAATCGACGCGTTCCCCGAACGCATCTTTAGTAGGTACCACATAGATGCGCCTTATGATCTCAACGGTCCTGAGATCGCGAGCCGCGACCGTCAGTTGCTGGATCCGCCGCGCGGTAAGGGGAGAGAGGAGGCGTAGCTCCCGAGAATCGGCCGAAAGTTGGAAACTTTGCCGAGCTTTGAATTAGAAAATAATGATTCTTCTGATAAGGTGACCAAAATATCGATCCATATTCAAAATGCGAGTGAACCAGCGTGACATAAAGAACTCTAATGGTTATCATGTTTTTAAAATATTATACTTGGAAGTCCGGTTGATAAAACCGAGTGTTCTGAAGGCATTGCCAACAGCAGATTTAATGTGTTGGTCAAACGATAAGTCGGAAGTAAAAATTATGCCCAAGTCACGAACACGATCAACATTTTTATCAACAATTTATATAGACTCGGCTTTATAGATGCAACTTTATTATCGACTTTGGCATATGCTGTTGCGATTTAAATCATAGTGTAAGAGGTTAAGCATGACATGGACGTTAAACATTCGCGATTGCGAATTACAAGGTCATTTTATGAAACAGCCAGAAATTGAGCTGTGTCTGTTCTAATCGCGAATATTTAGCGGTCACGACGGTCGATACGACTGTAGGCGAAATGTAAGAGCGGCGAGCTAAGCACACGTGCAGCGGCGCGATGTTCTTTATTGCGTGACAATTACTTGAACAACTAGACCGCGCTACAGCCCGAGAACGGCAAATGCTCCTCTTCTACAATTTCACCGCGCTCATCCATTTGATTTCTATAATTAATAATTTGCGTTATTCTGCGAATATCCCAAAACAGTAATTATTGCGAATATCCCAAAATAGTATTTTTTATCCGTTTTAATGCGTTCTATGCTCCCATAAACTGTAGCACAATCATTCTCTGATACGTCCTGTATATTATAATAATTAGTAAATACAGTAACATATTACACAGTTAGAATGGAAAGTTGCGTAAAATCAACTGGATAGCTCGGCAGCTATGTATTAGATATTAAGTAAAAAATAATTTCGTATATTTAGGTGAAGTTCGAAGACAACATTTTCGTATTAAAAAATACTTTTGATGAATAATGCGTGCACCGTTTTTTTCGATAATCATTCAAGAAGATGTTCAGGAGGAAAATGCTAGGTCCAATGAATGTAGATCGCATCAGTTTCTATAACTTTCTCTCTTTCAACTTTTTCTTATCACATAACTTTTTACGGTCTCAATATATGAGTTATTTTTGTTGTCTCATAAAATTACCTCGTAATTTTAATTTAATTTGTAATTGCAATTGTGATTTCGTGAGTATTTAGCGGCCACACACACATATCGATACGAGCTTAGAGCGCGGTACGACGAGATGTAAGAGCGGCAAAATAAACACACATGCAATGGCCCGTTGTCCTTCCCCTCGCCGCGCGACAATTACTTGAACGAGTGAGCGGCGCTATAATCTGAGAACGGCTCAAAAGCTCCTCTTTTACTATCTTGGCGCGCGCTCATCCATTTAACTTCTATAATTAATAACGTGATAATTATTGTGAATATTGCAAAACGGTACAGGACTTCTTTGTTTGCCTTAATCCGTCCTATAAACTTCCACAAACTGATACAATTGCTCTGGTGAGATACCCTATGCCCATATAAGACAGAGAACGAGAGGAAGAGAGAGAAGGACAAAGATATATATTATAATAAGATAAATATGTTTTACATTTATAATATTGCAAAATTCACTATTATTAAGGGAAAGGAATAACGTATGTTAAAACTCAGATCTCGACATTTTATGGAATTTTATATTATTCTGAATTTACTGCCATTAGACTTTCCAGACATAATTGATTGATACTATAAAGCATCTTATGATAATGCATTATACTTGCAATCAGAAAATCGAATAACCTGAATGAAAAGTTCAGCTGTCGGGGTGGCCAGAACGGCGCAAAGCAAATTGGTTACCAAATTGGTTTGGTTTCAAAAACAAAGAGAGAAAGAGAGAGAGAGAGAGAGAGAAAGAGAGAGAGTTGCAAATTTCATAAAGTCGAAAATAACCGCTTGGATTAAGAAAATCCGTTAAAATAAAATCGTCTCAAAATTAAAAGAGGAATCTTATTGTGCTCTAGTGCACCTCTGAAATCTCGTTCTCATTGCTCGCAGACTCGCTCGAAAACAGGCATCGCGGCGTTTTTGTCGGGGAAGAATCGATAGCGAAATTCTTAACCAAAGAATTCGCACACGAAAGACCAAGCTTGCGGCACGGAACACCCGTGCGTGTTCGCCGATTTCGCCTCTGCTGATTTCATCGAGACCGCTATTAGCGCGATCGACACGCGCAACAGTTTGCCAGAAGAACCGCCAACTCGGTTTAATTACTTCCCACTCGCTCACGAGCCACCGACGAGCTCTACCAGGATCATCGGCAATACAATTCGAAAAACGCCGGATACGAGGAGACCATGCGTGAAGGTGGCGATGAGAAAACCAGTGGTCGACGGCATTCCGCGTACGCGCGCGCGTGTGTGTGTGGCGCGCCACGTTTACGTATATATATACGTGTTCATGTGTGTGTATATGTGTGTGTTGTGTGTTACAAAGATTGAGCGGTGACCTGTCACCGCTTCCACGGGGTGTTGTATATAAATGTAGGTGAAGAGTAAATGTCTATTTATAAAACGGTGCAGGATAGGAGAGTGAGGAGTAGAGGCGCGAGGGGTTATCGGGGGGTAGAATTTACCCCATAGTGTGGTGGTGCGGAGCACGGCGTATCTGTCGATGTGTATGTGCGCGCACGCGCGCGCGGGTATATGGGCGTTTATTCAAACGGAGAGCCCGCTATAGCGGGGAACGCCAGTAGCCATTGATGCTGTGCCTCACCAGCTCTCGAAATTTCCCATTGCAACTGACCGATCCCGATGAAAGTTAGGACCAGAGAAAGGAGTTCATTGCAAGGTGATAATATGACAATGGAAAGCGGCATGACTAGGCGATGACGGCGAGGTCGTTCGAGTTCCGATTTAATCCCCCTTCTTCCTCCTCCTCTCCCTCCTCTCTCTTCCCTAACTTTTTCTTTCCTCCTCGATTTTCCAGCTGTTGATAAGAACGCATTCACTTTTCGCCAATAAGCATTGAGTAACATCACATCAATGTTATAATCTCGCAAACGCAATATTCACACTACGCAACGAATGATTAACAATATTATTGCTCATTCATCTTGCCGCGCTATCAGGAATTAATTAGATTTCGCTTCAATCAAAGTTTGATGACGCTTATAACCATAACCATAAGCGTCGTCAAACTTTGAAGCAGAATTTAATTAATTCCACTGATAGCGGGGGAAGATGAATGAGCAATAATATTGTTAATCATTCGTTGCGTAGTGTGAATATTGCATTTGCGAGATTTGATTAATGAAGCAGGTTCGCACCAAAACGAACATAATTGCACGTTGGAGATATGAAATGTTCGAGGACGTTTCAGAGGACAGCTTTGAACAATTCATCCGTAACTAATTAATCCGGTAAATAATTCCGCATATATGGCTCACTTTAATATTGGCTATGTAATGCTAGCTAATGTTGGATAAATAATTAATCTGATAAATATAATTCCACATGTACGACTGCCATTTTAACGTTGGTTGTTTACACAGCGTCTCTCGCAACCGCAACGTGGAATTATCGGGGGCACGCAAAAAAGGATTTCCGTGGAATTGATTTCCGTCCGTTATATTTTTATCGTTTTTGTTTACCTTCATCCTCGTATGCTGAAAATACAATGCAGAGTGTAAAAATTAAAGAAATTATTAACCCTCCGCCGTCACTTTCCAACTGCGCCCTCCATCATTTAATTATATTCGTATATGCGTCGTGATATTCGGTGTAACTTCACGTTAATAATTCAGAATCGAGTGAAATCGTCCGAATTGAGCAATCGAAAGAAAGAAACTAAGCAAGCGATCACCACGGCGATAAGGAAACCTAAAAACCGAATCCGAAAGCCGAATAAGAAAACCGAAAAACAGCGATCGGGGCATCACACATTGTAACAAATTTGTCGCTCATTTTCCACCTCCTCTCTCTCTCTTCCTCCTCCCCTCCCCCCCCTCTCTCTTTCACCTTAATCTTATCTGCATGATAGCAGGGGCGTAGGGAGCAGAGGCGCGCATAAAACTGACCGGCGCTTCGGCAGATGCTACTAGTCTCTCGTCTGACGTGGTTCGCGGCAAATGTTCAATACGCGCGAGGGAAAATTGTGCGGCGCCCGAGCACAGGAACACAGTTAGTACACACGTACGTGAGAGGAAAGTTCGCGCGTCTGACTGACGCGTCCGATTTTTCGCCAAAGTGGAGCGATTTTTCGAACAGCAGCGGAAACGAATCGTGAGTGTGCCGTCTCGTGGCGGGTCATCATTAAGAGGCTCATCATCAGTGATCCTTCGTTCGTCGCTCGCTCCTCCCTCTAGCTTATCAATTTTTCTAACGAAATTGCGTCTTCGGCTATTTCACTATTACGTTGTTGAGTCGACTCAACACAAAGAGTCGATTTTCCACCTAAACGGCATTGTTTTTTGCGCACGCGATTCCCCACGATGTCGACCGATAAACTATGTCGAAACTCTTGGACGGTTTCGTCAGCCGAGGAAATTCGGCATAGAGGCTTGATTTCTTCATCGAGGTGAAGAAATTTTGTGAAAAGGGGCGGAAGGAAAAGTCGCGAATGCGCCGACGAAAACCTTCGAAAATTCTTCGACGGCGTTCGCGTTCCATTCGTCGATCGTCACATTCTTTTCGCCTCGAGTTCTTCAAAAGCGTGTCAAAAATGATATTATATCACGTGCGGTGGAAGGTATTCGAGTAGAAGGCGATTGTAACGCCAACGCGATGCTATAATTGCAAAACTATAACTGCAAACTTCTTCGAGAGAGCGATTATTGTAATCTGCGGATTTAAATAGATTGATCAATTAAACAGGCTTAGATTAGACTTAGATGGATTGATTAGATGAAGAGACATCAAAAAACACGTTGGCTATATGAACGCCATACATGAGTGACTGTATTCCTCACGAGGCCGGAGCCACATATCTGTAATAGCGATAATACTTCATTCTATATCTACGCAAATAAATTACATTATTGCATAAAAAAATAATGTCGGGGTAGTCTGTGGCATACGGTGATTTTCCAGATGAACGCTTCAAAACGGCTAATTCTCCGTGGATTTAAGTTTCCGCGAAATACCGCCAGCACAAAGTAGTTTTTTCATCGGCATCTTCGTGTCCGCCTAAATTATATACAACGACGCAATATCGGTGTCTCTTTCGCGATGTCTTCGGGTATTATTATTATTATTATTATTATTATTATTATTATTATTATTATTATTATTATTAGACGCGTATGTTACCAATGTTGCGTCCCCTCCCGCATGAGAGTTAATTTTTGAGCAGAATTCTCGCGAAAAGATGCGAAAAATTAATACAAGGGGACAATGAGGAGAGTGCGAGAGCAAAGCGAGGCAGCGAGATATAAGAGAAGAAAAGAGTGGCGCATCGGCGCGCGCTGATAGAAATGCTTAAAAAATGTCACGATCGCGTGCGACGCGTATCCGTATTTAATCGGGCGGGCTTCGATGGCACGCTTAGACGCGTCTTCTTCTTGACGAAACTTATATTCCAGCCAGTGATCTATCATGAACATCGATGAGTTCCGGATGCGCGGCAAGGAGATGATCGAGTACATCTGTGAGTACATCCGCACGCTCGAAGGCAAGAGAGTGACGGCGAACGTGGATCCTGGTTACCTGAGACTTCTGCTACCGAAGGAGGCACCCCTGAAGCCGGAATCATGGGACGCCATCATGAGAGACGTCGATGGCAAAATAATGCCCGGAGTGAGTGCTGCTGGCGTAGCCAGCGATATTATCGATTCCCCTCTCTCTTTCTCTCTCTCCATTGATCTCAAACCCTTTTTCCGATATAAATAATGCACGTGAAACGAGGAAGTGGGGAGGGGGGGGAGGAGAAGAGAGAAAAGAAACAAATGAGATGGGTGAAAACCTCAGACGCTCTGACGTTTCTTCGCTCAACCAGCGTTTCAGAAAGCGTCATTCACGCGAGAATAGAACAGATTTTCGCGCGCGCGTCGCCATCATTCCCGAAAAGTCGTTTTTCTAGGGGTGCCGTTTACGGCGGAGCCTAGAAAGAAGTTAAGGTCGGGCCGAGCGCGCCGTGACGTAAAACGTATGTGATGCAACACATATTATATAAACACTACATGGGGTAGCACGATGATTTTCCTTCAATCAATATTTGATGGTACTTTGACTCCAGTTGTACAGTAATGTGTGGACCATTTTGCAGAGAATGTTCAGGGCATCTATAAGTCTCACTCACTAAGTCTCTGTCTCATATACAAGCCCACTTGGTGCAAAGAGTAAAAGAACTAAAGGGATGAAAATTATTAAAAAGGAATTAAAGAGCACCAAAGAGATTTCAAAGAATTAAAATCTAAAGGAAATAGCAGCTAGTATCATAAAATATGTCAGCAGGCATTCTATTCTATCCGATCGTAACGACGTTGACGCGAAAAACCTGAGAGACGGCGAGAGGGTAGCGATCTCGCGAGTGCGCGAGTTGCCAAATATGCGCGGCGGAAAACGCTTAAAAATAATTTCGAGCGTGCGCGGCTGTATGCGGCGGCCGAGCGATCAGCCGGTTGAGAAATTGAAGGACAGCGACAGCGTCACTGACGGTAACGTGCCCGATCTGCATTTCCGACGGCAATGACAGCGATAAACGCTGTTCGAGAAACAGCTCGCGTGACTTTTTCACAAAACGACCTCGAAGTTGGTTCTTATAATCCTATGCGACGTTATCACCGCACTGTGACAATGAATTCAACAGTCGACACACCGCCGCGGCCGTCGCGACACCGGCATTTCCGTCGCTTCACAGCTCGCCGTCGTTGTCTCCAGCTCGCCGCCTCTCCCGCGGACAAATCAATGTCAGGACATGCGGCAGAAGTAGGTTACACACCGCGCCGGGTTCATTCACGCGTGGGCGACGCTTCTTTGCAGATCACTCACTGGCAGCATCCGCGATTCCACGCCTATTTCCCGTCCGGCAACTCGTTCCCTTCGATCTTGGGCGACCTGCTATCGGACGCGATCGGCTGCATCGGCTTCTCGTGGGCGGCTAGTCCAGCCTGCACTGAGCTGGAGAGCATCGTCTTGGACTGGTACGCCAAAGCGATCGACCTGCCGGCTGATTTCCTGTCGGAGCACAAGACCTCCACCGGCGGCGGGGTGATCCAGGGCTCGGCGTCCGAGTGTATCCTAGTGACGATGTTGGCAGCGCGGCATCAAACAATAAAGATGCTGAAAGAGCAAGAGCCAAAAGTGGAGGACTCCGCCTTCCTGCCGCGGCTGGTGGCCTACTGTTCCACGGAGTCGCACTCGTGCGTGGAGAAGGCGGCGATGATCAGCCTGGTGAAGTTGCGGGTGCTCGAGCCGGATGAGAAGGCAGCGTTGCGCGGCAAGCGTCTCGAGTCGGCGATCAGGGAGGACGTGGCGAACGGGCTGGTGCCGTTCTACGTGTCCACTACCTTGGGTACCACCGGCTCCTGCGCCTTCGACAACCTCGTGGAGATCGGACCGGTGTGCAAGCTATATCCGAACGTGTGGCTGCACGTGGACGGCGCTTACGCCGGTAATGCGTTCATCTGCCCGGAGATGCGGCCGTTCATGGCCGGCATTGAATACGCGGACTCCTTCAACACGAATCCCAACAAGTGGCTGTTGGTGAACTTTGACTGCTCTTGCCTGTGGGTGCGTAACAGGGTGAAGCTCACGTCAGCCTTGATCGTGGACCCGCTATATCTTCAGCACGCGCGTTCAGGAGAGTCGGTGGACTATCGTCACTGGGGCATCCCTCTCAGTAGACGCTTCCGAGCGCTGAAACTCTGGTTCGTGCTGCGCTCGTACGGCATCAGCGGTCTGCAGAAGTACATCAGAAATCACATCAGATTGGCGAAACGATTCGAGTCGCACATGAAGAAAGACCGGCGCTTCGAGATCCTCAACGATGTGCGGGTCGGCTTAGTGTGCTTCAGGCTAAAGGAAAGCGAAGAAATGAATCAGGAGCTGTTGGCGAACATCAACGCTAGCGGCAGACTGCACATGATACCGGCCCGCGTTATGGGCAAGTACATTCTTCGCTTCTGCGTGACAAAGGAGGACGCCACCGAAGAGGACATCGACTATGCGCTCAACATTATTGAGGAGCATGCCACGGAAGTGATGCTGGCGCATTACGAGGGCACGGAGGACGAGTATAGGGCCAAGGGACCCAAGAGCCCGTCCGCTTTGGACAAGAAACTCGTCCGGAAGTTCAGCTTCACCAGAAGTGTCACCAGAGACGTCTACAAAAGGTCCATTTCCAAGTCCAGCCTGCACGACGGCGCGACACCCATCATGGTCGTCGACGACAATTCACAGGTCAACGCTATCGAGGACGATCATTTCCATAACAGCAGGTAGTTCAGTCGCTTCTTGGTCGAAGAAAATCGGGCATGTTTGAGATTTGCTTCGGTCGCCGATTATGTTCCATGAAAAAATGCTAGATCTAATTCTGTTAATTCTTCCTCTTTCTTCCTTCTTTGTCATCTTAGATCTTAATGTTATTTCTCCTTTTTATTTATTTATTTATTTATTTATTATTTGATAGAGTAAAGAGATTTGGATAATGGGGCTTCCTCGGATAGAAAGAATTTTTAAAATTTTGATGATAATGATGACGACATTAAAATACTGTTGCAGGTCGTGACGATGTCGATGACGGTCCCCTGCGCCGACTCGGGACGAGGTGGACGATAATAAGAAGGGCCCTCGGTACACAGCCGTGTGATTTGGAAACACTGACGGCCTGCCGTAGCCGATTTGCCGATTCCCGACGTCACGTTTGTCGATAAGTGACTATTCACGTCGCCACGTAAAATGTTTGGCCAAGTTGTCCGTTTCGGATCAAGTTCACTGGATTGTTATTCGAGACAATCGCTCGATGATGTCAAGTGATCGATGTATTCTTTCGAATATGAATGATTCTTCGTGTGGCGACAGACTGTGTCGATGATGCATTTCGATATTGAGACAAGTTCTCTAATAAAGAGTATCGAAGATTGTGAAATTCTTAAGCTCTCTTTTCGAACGATTCTAAATCCGCAATGAAAATCGAGAGACGCAATCTCATGTAAAATTTCACACGTCGCGATATAAAAAAAATGCCCATATGAATATAGAAAATACCCTTTTGCCTATCTTTATTATTGATTTATTTATTTTATTAACGAAAAATATATTCTTTCCTTTATGTGAAAAAAAATTATACAAAAAATATTCAAATAAATAAATATTCAAATTAATATATAAAAATAATAATTATATCGAAAATAAATAATTATTTCTAATAAATTATTATAAATAATTATTTATCCATTATCAAGAATAAATAATTTATAATAAATTATTTATTCATGATATAATTATTTTTATGTATTAATTAATAATTATGAATAAATATATTAATTGAATAAATTAAATTAATAAATTATATCAATAAAATTATAATTATATCAAGATATTAAAGAGATTGTAAAATTACAATCTGGATTTTGACAAATAGTTTAATGGGAGATTTTTCTTTACAAAAAATACTTGAAATTTGACGCGGATAAAAATAATACGGATACAATTCTGTCTCGAATTTCGTCTTGTATTATGGATCGTCTAAAGTGAATTTTAGAGACGACTGCGCGTAGTTAACATAGTCGTATTTTATTTTGATATACAGGGTGATTCAGTACAACCTTTTAAAAATAAAATTACAAAATTTAGACAAAATTTTAAGATACTTTTTCCTCTTGCAAAACTTTGTCTGAAACTTATTTTTTAAGTTATTGACAAAAATAGTTATCTTATTACAAGTCGGATATAGGAAGTAGACAAGGACGGCGCAACTCATCGTGAGACCCGGGCGCTAATGTAGGGTACCTATTACAATCAACTGTTCGTTACACCAGCTACGTTCCAATATTCATTGCCAACGTAAAAATTGTGTGTTACAATAGGAAAGATTTTTATAACTGGTAATAATGTTAAAAACGCACAGGATGGAACACAACACGTGCTTATTTTACTACAAGAAGCAGCCACAGATAACATTTGTACACGCAGCAAATGTTTAGGAGGTTGAATGAAGAGGGAGAACAGAAAAAGAAAACGTTTCCTTTCGTCCTCACACCGTTGTGTCAACAACGCGCCATGTTCAAGGCTCGGCCTATCAATATAATTGCATTATTACCTGCGTCATTACTGTATCATCTTCGCCGTGTGTACAAGTGTTATCTGTGAAGTTATCTATGGCTGCTTCATATGTGGCTGTGGCATATAAGCATATGTGTTGTGTTGTATTGCTGATGGCGATTGATAATTCCTGGAAGAAATATGTAATTATTTATGTTTTTTTCAAGGCTTGGCAGTCGCCAAACAAACCTTCATCGATCGGGCTTGATTAATTATGGTTAACGGTAGTCAACTGAGTTTATTAATATTCTTTTCTCTTTTTATTCTAAGTGTATAAGTGAGTGAAAAAAAAAAGGACCAGAAGAAAGAGACTGAGAAGCAGAACTTGCTTTCATTTGTGCACGTTTTCAAAATTATTGCCGGTTATAAAGATCTTTCTTATTATAACACACAATCTTTACATTAGCAATGAATATTGGAACGCAGCTAGTGTAGCGAACAGCTGATTGCAGCAAACATCCCACATTAGCGCCCGCGTTTCACAATGAGTTGCGCCATCCCTGCCTACCTTCTATATCCGACTTGTAATAAAATAATTATTTTTGCCAATAACTTAAAAAATAAGCTTCAGAGTTTCGCAAGAGGAAAATGTATCTTAGAATTTTATCAAGATTTTGTAATTTTATTTTTAAAAGGTTGTTCTGAATCACCCTGTATATGTCTCTGTATAGACGATAAAGCAGAATCAATGTACATATGTAATATGTGATAACGACTGCCGATCTACGTATGAATTCTACTAATTTTGTATAAAACATTAGTGAGTAATTGAGGTGTATCGCTTTCAATGGACGTAACGGTAATCTCGCGTGGTTTACAAGCGAACGACTATACCGATCCCAGTATGTGCCAAAATTGCATCTTCTGTCGCTTGGATGTGGTTAATGGAGTCGAAACTACGAACGAGGACGTGTTAATAATGTCGATGCATCGGTTACTTGACAGCTAGGAGGTACTTCATTTTGTATATGTGGCGCAGAACTTTGATGCTCCGATCTCGGGTAGAGAAAAATTAATCGTCTAATTAAAACGTACCATTTAATATCGAATCGTTATATCGATTAAAGATTAACAAACTATGATAAATAATGTGCTACCCAATGATCCACTGAGAAAGAGGGTCGCCCCCAAAAATTGTGAGAGGATGTATGAATTTTATAGTTAAAGGGAAAGATATATATATACACGGTAGTCCTGAAGAAGAGAGACACTATATAGCGATGTAAGATCGTAGAATTTTCGCATGTGGATATAGACATCGCATTAATTTGTAATTAACTAACAGCACAATTGTGTAATTATGTATCAATTATCGTTCAGTAATTGGCAATTGACATGTAAAATCGTATCGATCGATGGAGAAGTAGAAATCTCGACGTAAAGTAGATTTAGACACGATCCTTAACAGTTAGAGATAAGTTTTTCCTGCGAAGATCACGAGACACAGATATTCTCTCTTACCTTTGCGCGTACGAGGGAAACAAATGCGTTTGTAAATTCATAAATTTGCGGTTTCATAAATCTACAGTTTTCGCGATGATGATGATATGAAACATATAGATATATGTGTACATTTGTCATGGATAATTTATTCGAACTCGTAAAAGTCAATTCCGATTCGCAAAGGTGATACGTTAGAAAAGTCCCATTTATTATCCACGAACGCGATATATTATATACAGCGCATAGATTGATTATGAAAAAGATATTTGTTTCATATGTACAGATATTATAATAAAATTCAAATTCGCAAGATAACCAATATTTTTTTAGGTAATTATGTAATATAGGGGATGCACTTTCAATAACTTTGACCTTAACATATGTTGTCAAAATCATCACCCTGAGTAATGTGCAAAAGGTTTTAGGCAGCGCTCGTTGTTTGTTAAAACGTAACAAAAGAAGTTTGACAAAATAAACATAATTTGTATTCACCGTTTGTAATAAATGACCGCCAATTTAAACTTTTTGAATGATACTTAGAACTATCAAGACGAATTATCAATATATTCGTTTTTATGTACATATATAAGTTTTGGCACTTAAATTTGTCGCCTTTCTAAATTGATAAGTCTACTGTATACTAAAATTGTACATTCCAAAATAATTCGCCCCTACATAAGATTTGGCAAATAAATCTTTCGCTTTTCTAATTTGATGAGTCTACTGTAAAATTACTGTAAATGTCTACTATAAATGTATACTAAAATTATAGACTCTGAAATGATTAGCAAAAACCCCTATGCAAAGTTTGACGATTAAATTTGTCGCCTTATTAAATTAACGAATCTACAATATACTAAAATAACAGGTTCTGAAAAGATTAGCAAAGACCCCTAGGCAAAGTTTGTATTTAAGTAATTTATTTATGTTAAACCTTACATAAAGGTCTTTGCTAATCTTCTCAGAATATTATTTTAGTATATCGTAGACTCATTAATTTAGTAAGGCGATCGTATTTATGAAACTTGTTTTATATTTTCAATAATACAATATAATAAACTATATAATAAATTATTCATATAATAAATTTATACAAGAAAATATATGCAAAATATGTATATTTTTATAATTCTTGTCAATATGATCATATGTTATGCTGCTTAAATGAAAGATTTAAGAATATATAGAAGAAATTTTTAGATATGGTAATAATTACCTTTTGGTAATTATGTAGTTAAGCATCTTCTCTGCTCACATATATGCAAAGTTTACCGTACCTAAATGTATCGTTTGTGTATTGTACTGTGTATGTTCGATACACAGTATCAAAAAATTATGCTGGCTTAATGAAACTTCTTTTAATAACTTTTTAACGAACAACGAGCTCTATCTAAAACTTTTTGCACATTGCTCAGAGTGATGAACTTGACAACATATATCAAGGTCAAAGTCAGAGTCATTAAAAGTACATTCCCTATACATAATTACCTTTCCTTGTTACTTAACTTTAACTATGTTGATTCCTTTTGTTCCTTTTTAATTGGCAAACATAAATCCTACAATAAAATTATTGCATAATAATCAAATATTAAACCCCATTAAATATTATATTCTATTTATAAGTTTAGAATAATATATTATATGATAAATGTTTGTGCACATATGCACAAATATGCTGTAAATTAAAAGAAAAAACATACTCTATAATATATCTGATTTAATTTTACAATTATATTTTTCCTCTAGATAAAAATGCTTTTGCTTCTTGCTTTACTCTTCATACGTATAATGTAATTTCAAGTAAGCCATATGCATACATTATAAAAATTATACTTTTATTTTTTTCAAAAAACAGTTATTAATACTGTTGTAATCATGCCTGAGTTTATACAAATCTAAATAAATTACCACATTATTACATTTGTCCACACTGTGATATAGTTACTGGAATTTTAGGCTTATTGTTTGGTCCAGTAGGAACATTCTCCACTTTTCTCATAACAAGAAGTCCATCGATTACCCTGCCAAAGACAACATGCTTGCCATCCAAGAAGTTGCATTTGGCACAGGTGATAAAGAACTGACAGCCGTTGGTGTCCTTGCCACTGTTGGCCATAGATAACAGTCCAGGCGAGTCATGTTTCAGGTTGAAGTTTTCATCCGGAAACGTGCCACCACTATAAATGCTCAACACTCCGGTGCCGTCGCCATTTACAAAATCACCACCTTGTATCATGAAGTCCTTGATTACACGGTGGAAGATGGCACCTTTGAAGCCCAGTGGAACGCCATCCTTCCGGTATTCCCCAGTGCAGAACTGTCGGAAATTCTCCGACGTCTTCGGGCAGACGTCCTCAAATAATTCAAAGATCATGCGACCTATCTCAGTGGTCCCCACTGACACGTCAAAAAACACCACCGGGTTATTAGGGTTTCGCAGTTGAGCCTGAATCTGATTCCAGGTTGGCATGTTGTCGTCGTAGTTTTTCTTTTCGAATTTGTCGTGATTGTTAGATACCTTAAGGCAACCTCAAGACGTTCAGCTTGCTCCGGACAAACGCGTCAAACAGAAATTGCTTTCTCTGTTTGAATGTTAACGAGAAACCTAACCTCAAATCGCATCGATTGATGAGTGTTGTCTTAGGTTAGTCACGCTTCGATCTATAGCGTGAATCACAAGCAATGTGACTATTAATTAATGTTTAAGAGCAACACTAGTAATAAACGACAACTCTTGTGTTGCTTTGAACGATAATGCAAGTGTATCTCAGCGTAAACATACCGCTCGGCGAGTCCTCACACCACGTATACGGCGATGCAAAGTATCGAGAGACGCTGTAAAATTTGGAAGTTAACGTCTCGCAAGAGGACAATTTGTGCGGCAATAGAGAAATCGTCACTCGAGACGCCACGCGCGGAAATATTATTATGTAGTGATCATACAAAACAGATGTGTCGCCGTCAGTGTTTTGTAAACGTATGTATCAACGTGGCGCCCATTTTGATTCACTTACCTCGCTTGGCGAAAGTGCGGCCGATTTTGAATGCGACGATTTTTGGCAGCCAGGCGATGATATGACGCGATTCTCCTCTCAAAGTGTTCTCACGACAATCCGAAACGATCAGTAACCACTGAGAGAACTCTTCAATTCAGATAAGACAACTGAAAAACTCGCGATAAACCACGCGCGCTCAAACGGTGCATTTGTATGGAAAGTCACGTGATCAACTGATTCTTCAACGACCTATTCTACATAACTGCACTAAAAAATTACACTGCCTGCACTTCAAACGAAACAAGTGCATTTGGTGGGAGTGATGAAAATACAGAAAAATTATAAGATAGTTTGAAAATAAAATCAGCTAAAAAAATAGATTTGATACGTAGATTTGTCAAACGCTATGCAATATTTTTTCTTACAAATTTAAAAATCGGTCCTAATCAGATCAATATCAAATTTTAAAAGCTCGCAAGTATACATAAAAATCAATTAATCGTTCGACAATTAAAAGAAAACACAAAGGCTATGTTCCGATATTCACTGCCAGTATTGAAAATATATAGTTTGTTTCACGTATACTATATGTCAATGCTGGTAGTGAATATCGGAACGCAACCAAAGACACATTACATATTACCGATATTTTTTTTCAGAAACTGAATATAGATTACATTCACACTTGTTAAATTTTGTCATACAATGTTTATGAAATTTTATAAAATTTCAATTGGCATACGATTTTTATACAACTCTGTTTAGCAAATACATAATCCCATTGTTTTCCTAATGAGCCCTTCAGGACATTGTTAGATGGCACTACACAGTCCGAAGTTTTACTATTCAAATAGTATATTTGTTCTCCCATTGCTTTTATAAATTATCAACTTTAATACAATTATAAGTGATGCAATTGAAGGCATGTGATGTGCAATAATTGGCGATTTTACAAAATAAAATGCGTTTAATTACTTTTCATTGCACTTCATATATTTTACAATTTCAATGCCATTAGATCTATCCTATTTGGATATTTCTAATGACATTTTGCTGATTTAATGTGAATTACACATTAATCACAGTGCAACACAAGATAAAACTGTAATGTATTTGATTATAGATATTTTTTTATTTTGCCGCGATATGTCAATCTGTTTTGACGAATTTTCCACAATTTAAGTGCTTGACATAACTTTATAATCTAATTATATGTATTATTTTGGAATTATATTTAACAGATATTTTAAATATATAAAAATAACGTACAATATTTTTCAATCCATTATTTGACTGTGAAATGAAAATGTGAAAGGAACAATATAATTTTATAATAAAAAATTATTTTAATATGATCAGTTATTAGTTATTTAAACTAATTACCAATATTTGTATATTATACCACTCTAATAAATAATAATTAAAAGAGGAAATTTAGAACAGCAGCATCTGATTTTGTACGGTAAATGAAACTTCTCTTCACAAAAAATGTCTTTTTAAAACTATAAATTGAGAGCAAGGATATAAATATTACTGAAATCGATTGTACAATTTTTCGTACAATTTTTCTCCATATAAAGAATAAAAAGAGAAATAGGTGTTCTGCTTTTATCCAGTTATGGAAATAGCAATGCTTAAATATTCATATAATGATTTCTGTTTAATAGAAATAAAACAAAATTCTAGAGAAAATAAATCACATGCTTTGTAGAAATACAAAAATTAGTTCTCCTATCAGTCACGATGAACCATATACTAACAAATTAAATTTCCTGTTTATTTTATAATTAAACATAAAAAAGAATTTTCCCCTGTGTTTTCACGAATTGATAAATCGTCAAATAATTGCACCCTACGAAAAAAGAGAAAAACGAATAAGACAGATACACATTTTAAGTAAAAGTCAAGACTAAAAGATAAAAGATATAAGTAAAATTATTCAATTTATACTTAGCCTATCTCTTGATTCAATAAATATATCTATCTTACACATTATGTACAGTTATAATTTTACGACAGCAAAACTTCGTTCTATACTGCTGCATCTCTGCCACCTCGCTTTTCATTCCTAGAGACTAGCCTAAAACACTTCAGAAAGTATATAGACTAGTCGGAAATGTTCCTATAGGTGAATCCCATGCGATTTAAGGTCACTGGCAGTAAGGGATTATTGCATTCATTGTGCGTTACTTTCGTTACAGTCTACACGTTCCAGAACAATTAGCATGCGAAGTATCCAAAAACCTGGACAGAGTGGCAGACGATAATTATATGTGAATCTTGATGTGTTCCTTCAGCGCGTCTTTCTCGTCGAACTCCTCTCCACAGATCTCGCAGCCAAAGTCACCAACGTCGTCACTCTGGTACTCCTCGAGCTGAATGTCCGTCTGCGAGGCTTCATCCTGCATCAAGCGATTCTGCTCGTCCTGATTGACGTGACTCTTCTCGTCATTCAGCTGCGTCTCATGGATCACTATAGGTAAGTCACTCACCTGCACGATTTGGCTGGAGTAATCGCTGTGGCTCTCTGGATTCGGTATCGCCAGAACCGGCAACGACTCGTTCTGCTTCGATATTATGTTCAGGGTGTTCTGTCCACTGGGAGACGTCTGGATGAGGTGCATCGCCGTCATGTCGTCACGTCCAATTGCCTCATCAAGTACACCACTCGCGGGCTCTTCCACCGACATCACCGACTGCGTCGCATCGCTGCACTCCGGCGTGGCGATCACGTTGAGGGATCCCCGGTGATTCTGATCCACGTGGAGCACGTGGATGTTGTCGTCCTGCTTGCCCTCCACTATGAACCGTATGTTGCTATGCTTAAATTCGGATATCGCGATGAAGCCGTCATTGCGCTTTTCCGTAGTTACTACGACGAAAGCGTTCTCCGGCTTCTCGTTCATCACATGCAGATCGCTCGATTTGTCCGCGTTGTCCGTGATTGATTGCAAGGCTTCATTTTGCTCCGTCTTCGAGATGAAGTGGTTCAATGGATCACGCTTGTTCGGCGTCTTAACACGCGACGACGTCGACGAAGACGACGACGACTTGGCTTTGGTCCTAGTCTTCTTCCTGGGCAACTTTGGCTTCGGGTGGTTGACACACTTCGCCTTGGCCTCGGCTATCATCTGATCGGAATGCTTGACAATGTGTGCGCAGAGCTCGTCGCGGTCCTGATTCATGACGCCGCACAGCGTGCAGCTAAACGGCGGCTCGAGATCCTCGGTCTCGTTCTTACCCGCTGCATGCACCCAGCGCACGTGCTCACGAAGCACTACCTTCTGGTTGAACGCCCGTGAGCATAACGGGCACACGTGCGGCCTCTCGCCAGTGTGGATCCGCTCATGTTTTCTAAGAGTCCCGCCGTCCCGAAAGGACTTCCAGCAAAACTTGCAGCCGTATGGCCGTTCACCCGTGTGCGTGCGGTTGTGTATCAGATATCCCTGGCGGGAGGAGAACGTCTTCAAGCATTTGTCACATTGAAAATGCGCCGGGCTACCTACGTGAGTTCTCCCATGCTCCCAGAGACCTTGACGAGACACGAAACTCTTGCCGCACTCCGTGCAAGTGTGCGGCGTGTCGGCGGGATGCGCCGACAGCCGGTGCTCGTCCAGCTGGGACTGCTTCTCGAACTGCGTGCCGCATACCTCGCACGAATGCGTCTTCTTCCTATGGATCCATTGGTGGCGGAACATCTTCTGTTTCGTCGTGAACTTCTTGCCGCAATCGGAGCAAGCGTGCTTTCCCCACTTGTTATTGGCCACACCTTGTTCGAGGTTGTTCCGCATGATCTTCTTGGCGCAGGTAGTCTGGTGAGTCGCCAGGTGATTGCCGTCTTGGAACTGCTTGTCACAGTATTCGCACTCGATCGGCATATTCCAGTTCTTGGTAGTATGGTGGATCTTCTCGTGAGACGCTAATGCTGTCGCACGTGCCAACACAACACCACAGTGTTTGCATATGTACTGCTGCTGTTGTGGTTGCTGCTTGCCGTTGTTCGTCTCGATCTCCACGTAGTTCCTTCTGTTATCGTCGTAGGTCGAGAGTGTCTCGACCTTCACCACCCGGTCGTGGCCGTCAAACGAGTTCAACGTCAGATTGTATTGCTGACCGCTGACCGCGTTGCCGATGCTGTTCTGTTCCGTGTACTCGAACTGCGCCACCTCGCCGTTAGACATCACCGTGAACTCCTGCAGCGCGTCTATCTTCTCCTGGTGATTCGCCATCGTGGTGACAGTCGACTGCTCGCCCTGAAAATTGTACGACACCGGCCACTGTACTTGACACACATCGTAATTCTGTACAGAATGCACCGTCGGCACCTGGGAAGCGTTCTGCGAATCGGACGTGTCCGTGTCTGGCCACTTCCGGAATGATTCTTGAGCAGACTGTGACATGTTGCTACTTTGCGACTGCATGACCGCGCGTCCCGCGATGTAGGTATGTATCTTCATGTGATTAGACAGGCTGGAGGGTCTTTGGAAGTCAGAGCCACAAATCGTGCACTTGTGCAGTCGCTCAGCCTGGTGCACCTGCTGCATGTGTGACTGTAAGCTACTCTTAGAACGGAACAAATTGCCACATGTTCTACATGCATGAGGACGATCCACCTGATGACAGACCATATGGTTGTTCAGATCTATCTTTCTCTCGAAGCTCTCACCGCAAGTAGTGCAGGATAACTTAGGAGTAGTGCATGTAGATTGATGCTTGGCTAACTCATCCTGATTGAAGAGATTCTTACATGTGGGGCAGCTGATCTTCTTGTTCTCGAAGCAGGGATACATACCACCCAATTGACGTAGGGCCTCCACTGCCATGGACTCGTCGTCACCTGATGTGTACTGCTGTTGTTCCTCTTGTTTGATATACATTGGATACACAACTTGATTGTCATCTTCTGCATCTGACTGCTCTGCAAGTATCTCGCTTTGTGGCTCCGTTAAGTCGGCACTGACATTGCCCACTGAGACCTCCACAAGGTCTTCTTGGAGGACGCAATCGTCGACGCTGGGCTCGCATATTTCTTCATGAGATATCATGTTCTCCTGTATGGCATCGTGCACGTCAGCGAGAGGAAACGTCACGAACTGCTCGTTCTCGTGCGTCTCCATTTGACCGGTCGCCAATTGGCGAGATTTCGTCAACGGGACGAAATGGAAATATAAATGGAGACCGTTAAAGAAGCGTTCTACACAAGATGAACATGGAACAATATTCTAAACGACCTAATCTAACCTCATGTAAAGTTGGGTCCTGTCATCGTTCACGCAATACAAGTCGTCGTGCGCCCCCAGATCGCAGATTAATAAAAATTATCGTCAATCGCTGCTGTAAGTCTAAACGATTGTTATGCACTTATCCTTACAGCCTTCGAAAGAAATTTATTCTTCTTGGTTCCGATGACACAAAATATCGACACGTCTTCGGGTCAAGGTGCAAATTTACGAACGGTTTCGCAAAAGCAAAATCGTTCGTAGCCGAATAAGTGGTATGCTGTTGCCGTGATGAATCGTACGATTGAATTCTCAGAAAAATTAGAATAAATCTTCTAAAGATTTTTTTATATATTCCAATTTGTACGAGTTGCGATGTTCCAATGTTCCAATGCTGCGAGGTTATTCACGGAGCAGTGCCCCATATCTGTTGCCGCATGAAGTTACATGTAACGAATCGAGAATCGATAGGAACTGTCGACGTTTTAAAGGCTGCGTTCTGGAATGCGCTGGGTCGGTTGCACACAAGACGCGGTAAGTGTTGCCGCGTGACGGAAATTGGCTAGGGAATATCGCAGTAGCCAATAAACGTTCCATATGACGCATGTTTCGTAAATACTATTTCCGGGTAAGCAAGATGCTGAATGGTTATCGCAATATTCTCTAGCTAACTTTCGCTGCGTGGCAATAATTGGCTGCGTTCAGCAGAACAAAGTGATCAGTGAGCGCTTAGTGATTCTCGCTCCTGATTGGTAAAACTTCTGGGTCTATGAAGAATCTAAAAGAATGCTCCAATCACAGACAATAATCACTAAGGCCCGGTTCCACAACTTATTATAAACGAAGTTTAAAGCCAGCGGCACACGGTGCTTGTTTTCGTGCTGAATTGCTTGCTAAATGAAAATACTGCATTTTGATTGGTACATTTCCGAAGATGGATGGAAATGCACCAATCAGAACGCAGTATTTTCATCCAGCAAGCAATCCAGCACGAAAACAAGCACCGTGTGCCGCGGGCTTTAAATTTGTCTGCTAACTTCACGACGGTGAACTAATAAAGTTAGGTTGGGAAAAAATTTGTGAAAACAGTTTTCCACCACAGAAGATCCTTTCGGATATTCTTTTTTATCTAAAAATCTTTTTGATCCCTTGTATATGTGTGTATATATATAACATGCATGTCTATGTACTTCATTCTGGTTTCTCATCGCAGGCATTAATACATAACGCTGATAAACATGGAATCCTGATAGGGGATAAAAAAGAATTAGGCGGTGCAGCGACAAAACTATTTATTAGTTTAGCATATTTATCTGAAGATCTCATAGTACAAGGCTTCCATTTAATAAAAAATATTATTTTTCAAAATAACAAGAACTTGCAATCTTTTTTACTTATTATAAGGAAACATGGATCAATGGCTATACGCCAAGTTCTTTTTGTATTTAATGTGGTACATCGGACAAACAATCTTTTAGAAAGGCATAATAGAGTTAAAAAAAAAAAACGTTCATCAGTTGTTGAATTTATGGGTACGTTGTGAACGTCTTATTAAAGAAAACATTTTGTAGAATATTTACACTCACCTCTCTCACTCTCTCTCTCTCTCTCTCTCTCTCTCTCTCTCTCTCTCTCTCTCAACATCCAATATTATTTATAGCGTACCTTACTCAACACTAAAAAACTGAACACAGTTTTAAAAAACACCCAAAATTCTAGGCAAGAAAAGAGAGAAAGAATGTACAGAAGGAAAATGCCTTAAAAAAAATTTGGCATCAAATAGAACAAGAAATGGATGACGCTGACTTATTATTAATTTTAAATTAATTAAGTCAATTCGTTGGTAAAAAAAGAATTAGATCAATAAATGTATTTTAATATATAATAATATTTTTATTTTAATATTCTTTATACTCACTTAACTGGATGCAACCTGATGGCTTGTTTGCTGTTCAATCACATCCCAGTCTGAATCCTACGAAAATAATAACTTTGAACAGTATCGATGTGGCCCAATATGCATCTATGTATCTCCAATATATCTTTCATATAAATCAAATCTACCCTGAAATAATATACTCATATAACAAGTGTAATATGCATGCACATGTAACATGTATAACATCAAAAGCTTGTGAAATTCCTTATTTTCTTAACTGTTATAATTGTTTCATCTTTTCTTACTGCAGTACTTACAATCAGGCTTGTTATAGTATTAAGATATTATCAAAAATTCTGTCTTCGCTGTCTGCATCAATTATCGGACTTGCTTTTGCTGGCTGGATCAATCATTACTTTCGTCTCTCGTGGCTGGATTGTTTCTGTTATGCATTAATCCTTGGGAAGTTTTGGACAAGCATTATATCTCCCAAAGCTGGAACAAAAACATTAATCGAAGAAAAGAATCGGCCCAATATCTAAAATTATAATGCTCACATAGATAGCAAAATATGTTCATATTATATATTCATGCATCTTTAAGACATAAATAATTATTAGATACAATTAATTGATATAGGTTCAGAATATTAGCTACTTATCTGACATTTGTCCATTCTTCATTTTATTTCTTTCTAGCCTCTTTTCCATACTTCCATCACCTCCTATAGGTTTTATTTTCCAGTTGACGATGACAAATTAATTCCAATTCGAAGAACGGAACTGCAACATTGAATCACATTTATCTAGGCATGTTACAAAACTGAGAATTTAATATTGTTTATTTATAGAAAATATATACTCTGGCTGTAGTATATTGGTAAGTGATTATTGTTGCTCAGTACTTTTATTTTACTTTTACAAAAGTCATAAAATTATAAAGTAACAGTAATTTGTCACTCGTCGATTTATCACAGAATCAGTATTAATTTTTAAGGATAATTTATCCATATTTATTTTTCATTTATATCATACAAATATTATATCATACAAATATTCACACCTTGTTATTGTTTGATTTTTTAAATTAATTAATTAATTAATTAATTAATTTATTTATTTATTTATTTTCATGATAATTATACAGAATACCCCCCTCACCTCCGATATCGACGAAAAAATATTTAATCGACGCGTTTTTGCAAGAGAAACAACATTTCTATTTGAAAAAATCGTCGCTCAATCTTATGGAGCGAGATATTAATTGTTAAAGTTGGCGGCAATTTAGGTTAGAAAATCTATCACATTGGCAAAATATTGACATCTTACTGATTAACTTATTGTAGGTTTTTGTCATTGTTTATTAAAAAGTAATGGATGAATAACATTTTTTAATGCGAAGCAAGATTCCGGATGGGTTTGCAACTTTCCACGCGTAACGAGGACGGGGTGGATAGAAGCCAAAGGTCCCCCTTGCATCCTCCCCCGTGTGTGTGTGTGTGTGTGTGTGTGTACATGTTTCAGCATTTTCATTTATTAAACATATAAATTTTTAGCTCATGTATTAGTGGTTATTTTTTTTTAATAACCACTGATGAGCTATAAATTCATATGTTTAATAAATAAAAATGTCTCAAACATATGTGTACACACACATGGAGGGATGCAAGGGGGCCTTCGGCCCCCTCCCGCACCCACCCCGTCTTCGTTGCGCGTGGAAAGTTGCTAACCTATTCGGAATCTTGCTTATCTGTTACTTGCGTGACAGATTTCCTAACCTAAATTGTCATCAACTTTAACAATTTATATCTCGCTCCACAAGGCAGAGCGACGATTTTTTCAAATAGAAAAGTTGTTTCTCTTGCAGAAACGCGTCGATTAAATATTTTTTCGTTGATATCGGAGGTGAGGGGGGTATTCTGTATAATTACCAAACTGTCTATTGACGTTAAGAATCATAAAGTTATTTTGACTTTTCCTTGACTTTGATATGCTTCTTAGACAAGTAGACTAAAAATAATGGGGTTAATAAAAGTGGGGTTTAGGGGACCCACTTCCAATGTGCTTGTCATTGATATATATTATCAAGGATACTCTACTAAGTGACATTCAAGAGGTTTTAGCCGTCGCTCATTGTTTGTTAAAAAATAATTAACAAAAGAAATTTCATAAATAGAATGTAATTTTTCGACACCGTGTATATATTTAAGGAATGAGCACATGCTGTACACGCGCTATGAACATATTCACCATACTACGAAACTTGTTGTTTTGATTATTTCTATTGTATATTCTTACTTGGTATGTTTCATATTATCTGTATTATTACTCTCAGTATTATTGCTCTTTCGTCGTTCAACTAGTTGGTCGCTTAAGTAAATCCAAGAGTTACGTAAATTTTCAAAATGTATTTATATACATGAATATTTACATATGACGCATAATTTCGACAGTTTATCGAATTTCTTATGTGAAAAAAAGGTCGTTCGAAAAGAGATAATGTGTCCGCGATATAAGAAATTATTAAAAGCAAATAATCCACTTGAAAATCGTTTATTACATTGCACAAACAAATATTATATAGTTACTAAAGGTCGAAAACGACAAAGAATAACGTGCAACTTCAAAATTAGTATATTTCATGGAACATGGTTTTCAAGAATGCACATGGATTTGACTGTAATTTGCCGTTTTATCGGCTATTTCCTAATGATGCAACCACGAGTCATTTAATGAATGAGTTGCAAATAGATCAACATATTGTTATTGATTGGGCGAATTTTTATCGAGAAGTAAGTAATATACTGCTTGTTACTTATTTATTTGTGCTTGTTAATGAATAATATTACATTGATTTGTTAAATTATCTCTAGTTACTTCAACAATGGATTGAAGATAAACAAATTCCAATTGGCGGAGTGAATAAAATTGTAGAAATAGATGAAGCCAAAGTAGGAAAAAGAAAATATAATACAGGACGTGTAATTAGAGGACAGTGGGTTTTTGGTGGTATAGAAGGTGATACCAAAAAGTTTTTCATTTTACCCGTACCGAATCGACGTGTTGATACTTTGCTATCTGTTATTAAAAATATATTGCACTTGGTTCTATAATACATACGGACCAGTGGCGAGGATATATTTTGCGTAATTATGAAAATTATACTTATCGAATAGTAAATCATTCAAGAAATTTTGTAAATCCAGAGATGGTGTTCATACACAGAACATAGAAAAATTGTGGAGAGATATGCGAGCAAAAATTCCTCGATATGGTATACGAGATTATCATTTTACGCATTATCTTGCAGAATTTATATTTAAAAAAGCATACGATTTTAACAAACGTATTGATAGTTTTTTCGAAATTATGAATTTAATGTATCCATTAAATAATCCGAACATGGGATAAATTTCTTTATATACATTTCTTTTATTAATACATATATATAGTATAAGATTATGTAACCTAATACTAAGTATAATACTCTCAATTACTAATAAATTGATGTATATATATATAAAACAGTATACGTATATGTGCGGGGGAGGGGCTCCGCTCCATAGACATATATGTATAATAGACTGAGCATGCAATATATTTCTCAGCAGCTAAGGAGGGTTTGGCAGAATGGAGAGAGAGGCAAAACATCGATAATATTTTGTCCTCTTTTATCTTTGTTGCGCGCGCATTATTGACAGTAATAGCCGTCGATGGCTAATAACCTAAAAGTGCTGTCGAATATCGTTTTCTTTTGACCATGAAGACATGCAGCGCATGTGGTTTTTAGAAGGAGAAAAATGAAGAAAAAGATATAACTTTTCACGTGTAAATAAAACATTTTGCTTTTTCTTACAATTGATAATATGTATCTAACTTATTGTATAACAATACATAATTTTACATGTATCTAACTTACATAATTTTACATAATTTTACATATGTTATTATATATTATTATATGTAATTATATAAAAAGTTATGCTATTTGTGAAATTATAGATTTCCAAAGAAAGAAGATATTCGGCATTAGGAATGGATAGAGGCAACAAATAAAGCTAATTTTATTCTCACGAGAACAAGTGTTTTATGCAGCCAGCACTTTTCAAGTGATTGCTTCTATTATCCAAGTGGCGGATCAAAACAACGTGTCTATTTAAAACCAGATTCTGTACCAACCATATTTGGTAGACGTTTTTCCAGGTAACAATGGATTAGTGATTTTATTAATATTCATAACATTGTTTATAAATGAAACGTAAATTGTAATCATATACAGGGTGTCCCATTTTAATCCGGCCGGCTGAATAAAATTCGAGGATGATATTTTCCAGAAAAAAATGTCAGACAAATGTTGCTCAGTTCTAAGGGGGACATTCGATGCCATTAACAATTTTGACCTCGGGTGAAGGGTTCAAGGTCATTCAAGGTCAACTTTTTTTTCTTAAATGGGAACCCCTATTTTTCACATCGGCAATCGACTCTACGTTAAAAAAAATGAAACTTTTGTCTGAAGCATTTTTTTATAACGCAAACTAATTTCACTTATTCAGCCTCCAAAATTGAAATTTTCAAAATTTCTGAATTTTTTACTCGAGAATGGTGGGGTTTGGGGGGAAATTGCAGAAGACAAAAAGTTCTTGGAATGCTACAAGGAATTCACTCGAATTTTCGCATAGTTGATCGTGTACTTTTTTCGAGGTACCTCCTGACAGGTAGAACATTGGCGGAAAAAAGTGCACGATCAACTATGCGAAAATTCGAGTGAATTCCTTGCAGCATTCCAAGAACTTTTTGTCTTCTGCAATTTCCCCCCAAACCCCACCATTCTTGAGTAAAAAATTCAGAAAGTTTGAAAATTTCAATTTTGGAGACTGAATAAGTGAAATTAGTTTGCGTTATAAAAATATGCTTCAGACAAAAGTTTCATTTTTTTCACGTAGAATCGATTGCTAATGTGAAACATAGGGGTTCCCATTTAAGAAAGAAAAGTTGACCTTGAATGACCTTGAACCCTTCACCCGAGGTCAAAATTGTTGATGGCATCGAATGTCCCCCTTAGAACTGAGCAACATTTGTCTGACATTTTTTTCTGGAAAATATCCTCAAATTTTATTCAGCCGGCCGGATTAAAATGGGACACCCTGTATAATTAAGAAAAAATATCTCCTTAATCTTTTTTCTAATAATATTAATTATTTTAAAATAGGAAGTTAAAAGTGCTCCTAAGAGAAAATATTAATATCAATCTTCCAAACGACAATACTGAAGAAAACAATACGATGCAGTTTGGGAATAAATCTTTCAAAAAAAGTACAGCTGAGTCTAACATAAATACAGAGATGACAATCTATGATGATAATACTTCTAACATGGATAGTAAATGTCAAATGGAAGTAGAAGATACATACAAGTGAGTAAAATATAAGATGAAACAATGTGTATATCTATTATTGTGTGTTTTATTTTAGTTATTCTAATATATGTACATATATGTGTGTGTGTGTGTATTTATATGTTTATATATCTACAGGGGACATGCTACAACTCCCAAATGTAAATTGATTCGGCAAAGAAACCATTTGGAAACTTTCTTTAGTGCTGTGCGTAATCGTGGAGGATTTAATAATAATCCAACAGCTAAGCAATTCATTACTGCTTATAAACGTCTAATAGTACACACAAATGTAGATATCTCTGAATATGCGAATAATAAAGTATTAGACAAAACAACTATCTTAAATATATCTACTATGTTAACCAATATCGGACGTGTAGATAATTTAATTCATTATTCTATTGAAATACAAGGTACTGAACATAAAATAGATCATGATTATCTTTTTCATAATGTCTGGTTATGTAGTGATTATATTGAGGAAATGATAAGATACATAGTTGGCTTTATTGTGAAAAAATCACTAAAATTATCAAATGTCCAATATGTTTATCTAGTTTAACTTGTAATAAAACAGTATCCTATTTACAAAAAATAAAATGTCGTGGTGGCTTAACTTTAGTGTTCCGCGGATCAAAGTTATCGTTTATTTTAGTTATTTTGCGGAACAGTGAAAAATAATTAATTTTTTTTTCTTTCTTTGTCAATTAAGCGGAAACGTTTACTTTATTTTTTTTATGTCTTGTTAATTTATTACATTTGATTTGATATTCGTTACAACGGAAACGGTTTAAATTAGTAGAGTTTCGCGCGTCGAAGTTCGGTAATGGTCGCGATTCCGCGCAGCGGAATTTGAAAGATTTATTCCCAAACTGCATCGTATTGTTTTCTTCAGTATTGTCGTTTGGAAGATTGATATTAATATTTTCTCTTAGGGGCACTTTTAACTTCCTATTTTAAAATAATTAATATTATTAGAAAAAAGATTAAGGAGATATTTTTTCTTAATTATACAGGGTGTCCCATTTTAATCCGGCCGGCTGAATAAAATTTGAGGATGATATTTTCCAGAAAAAATCGTGGATTTTTATTGGGCGGCGACTCGAGCCGCCGGATCGTATAGAAGGGGCGTCAATGGCCTCTTCACTTCACTTCTTCTTCTCTCTTCGGTTTCAGTACCCCTTCGCAGTGCAGTGTTCGGCAGTGATTTTAGTACGGTTCACCCCGATTTAATACGGAACGTTAGATTCTGTGTGGACGACGCGTTCCAACACTATACATGCGATAATTGAACGGGTTTATTTAGCTAATGACGTAATAAACGTGAGCGAATACTCGATCGAGGCCTTCGGGCTACACGGAAATCATCTTACTAAGTCTCTACGCGAAAATAAGAGACCCGTGAATCTCATACGAATATCGGGGGCCCCGCGGTAACCAGTTATTCATACGAATTCTATACGATCGCTATACGCTTCAGACCTTTCACGGTCACACGTTTCATCTTTACATAAACACCACACGCAAAAAAATATATACAATTTCATTGGGGTTTTTATACCGCAAGACTTTTCCCCACGAGCCATTAAAGATAATCATATCTTGGCTCAAAAATACAACTAACAAGGGACATTCGGCAACGCGGAAATTCAAAAAAATCTGAAACTCTGCATAATTGTAGAGCAGATATACCTAATAACAAAACAATTTTTCGTTGGTGCCCAAAAACGGTTTTAAGGGTGGAAACAACCCTTTGAACAAAGTTGATTTTTGTCTTTCTAAGCGAATATTATCGAAACTATTAAAGATATGAAAAAATGTTTTAGACAAAAGTTTTATGGTTTTAAAAGTACTTTATTATACTATATTTAGATTTTTTAAAAATGTAAAATTGTGTATAAAATACCCCCCCTCCTTCTCTTTTTTCAAATTGTTAAAATCAATTGTCCAACCAAAATAAAGCTTATTTTATGAAAAATTCAATCATATATAATAACATTATGTTTGGAAAAGGCAATATTGATAAAAAAATTAAAAATGCTCTTATATATGCTCAATATATGCTACGCGTACCAAACTTATGGGTTCGCTGCTTGACGGTGGCATTTCTTTCTCCCTCATAATTACTGACTGTAAAAGGTAAGGAAGGAATAAAAACAGGTAATCTAAGAAAAGAATAAAGTTGATGTTAAGAAGTAAGTTGAAGAAGAACAGCATGATAAGGAGGACGCAGAGAGAGTGTATATAACCCTAATATAGATAATCTTTTAAATTCAATTGTAAAGAACAAATAAGGAAATGAATGATATGAAGAAAAAAGGAGAACACACACGGATTTAATAATGAAAAATATAATTTATAAATTTATTCAGTGTACATTTGTGTGTATGTGTTTTGCTTCATTCAGTATATAGGTTTTATTAATTAAGTAGTCGATATAGATATTCGAGTGAAAGATATCTTATATTTTGGTATGGATTATAATATATACAAATTTTACAGGAATTGAGGACAGTAAAATATTATTTATTCTATATAATTATTACAATAATGATATTGCTCAAAGAAATGTTCAAAACAAAAATATTGCTTGCACCATGCACAACGTATAAAAGCCATTTTACCACAAATGCTACATTTTGATATACGTTTTTCTTCTTTAAAATAACAATAATCGATTGGATTATGAAATTTTTCAGGCCGTGTTGATAAATAACCACTTTTATACCAGCTATATCTAAATAAATTTCGAAATCTTGGAGAAGACAGTTGATTGTGTGTTAAAGATTGCAATTTTATTATGTTATTACGTAAATGTAAATTTATGTCATAATTATTTATAATAACACTATCAGAAAAGCTTCGAACAAAATTTTTCCAGATTCTGAAACCAAAAACATCTAATGGCTGTATAAAAGCAGTTGTTTTTTTTTTGGTATTGTTAGAATATTTACATGTTCGTCTTTTGGTACAAGTTCTTCCAATTGGTTCGGGCAATGTCCTGTCCATGAATCAAGCAGTAGTATACTTTTCTCTCCAGTGTTTGGTAGATACACTTCTTGGAACCAATTTTTGAAATGTTCAGTTGTCAATTTCCCTGATTTTGAAGCCGCAATGTAAATATTCACTGGTCTAAAAAGAGTTTGTTCTACTTGTGGTCCAAAAACACCAGTAGATTCTTTTAATACTATATACAAAGGCGAAAGGAGATGTCCATCTGCAGATATAATAGGCATAATGGTGTAGCTATAAGTCATAGTAGATAAAGATTGGATAGTAGCTCCAACTGTCTTCACTCCTACATTAGCTAATGTTCTTCCTGCATATATTTCTAAATTAAAGCCACTTTCGTCCGCATTATAAGTTGATTCAGCACCGATTACATTAATATGTGGCTTTACTGTATTTACAAATTCCTCAGCGTTTTGACGTATAGTTAGATCAGTTAAATGAGAAGACCGCGTTTTAAATGCAGTTATTTTACGTGATGTAATACGATGTGCCTTTTTAAAATTCCATATCCACCAATTTCCTGCTTTAAATGAAGAAAAATCCACTTGTTCCTTTGCTTCTAGTGCCCATTTTCGCAGATTTATATCATGAATAATAAGTCCTCTATTAACAGCTTTTTGGAATTTTATAAGAACATATTCAGCAATAACTACAAGTTTGTCTGTATTTGAACCCCCACGCATTACATGTTCTTGCCATCTGTGCAATTGTTGAATAGATTTTACCTAGAAGAAAACAAATCTCAATATTAAACAATTCGAATTCAAAAATAAAAGAAGTTATATACGAATTAAATGTTCACGAAACATCAAATTGTAAAACTTAAAATAAAAAACAACGCGACTCTAACTATATAATTTACAGCTTTGGTCATAAGTATAAAGCATCTCTAACTCATTGTATTTTCCTAGAAATCAATGCATATACTCATAGTAAATATATAATCTCTTTACAATAAATATTATATTAATATTTTATAATATAATGTGTATATTATATTTATGTATATTATATTTATATTATAATTTATATTATATTAATATTATATTATATTACAATAAATATTGTAAAATAAATATTATTTTCCACATATTCTTATATTATATTTTTTTATTATATTATTTTTCCATATACTCGTATACTATATTATGTTCTCCATATATTCATATAGTATGTTTTTGTTACACAATTTAAATAAATTTTTTGGGATGCTTTATACTTATAGTCAAAGCTGTATGTACAATGACCGACAATGATGCGTTCCGCGAGAGGGGAAATAGAGTTCTCTCTGTCGCGGAACGAATCACTGCCGGTCACTGTACACTGTAAAAGCCTCAAGTATTTTACTATATATTATTCTTCTTATTTTTTAATTAAACTTTACTTTTCTAAAACGATGTTGTACAGAAGTAAGAGATAAATGTCCTTTCTTTCCACTCTTCCAAAATTCGATTGCCTTTTTCTTATAATTTAAGTTTACATTTCCACCTTCATCATCCACAGTGCAAACTTCATTTCCATAATTATCTTCTTCAGCATCAATATCGTACACATCTACAAATTGTACGTCATGCGGTTCTGATGGATCGTCAAAATCAAGTCCCCACTCATGTTCGATCGTAATATCGTGATGTATAGCACTCTTTATTAAATCAGTAATTGTATCATGGAGTTCCATCTCTTGATGATTAACAGGAGTTATTGCAATATTTGTGAAATGAAATGTCGCAATTAACAAATTAATAACATTAGCTGGATTTATTACTGACATTATGATACAAATCTTAAGGATATTTTAATTAAACATTTCTCACAGCAATAATAATATACGTACTGCTTCAATAACTGCTTCAATAATACTGAAATGTATTCCAAAATGGACAGCTTTTATATGCAAATGAATGAAGATAACATATGTCAATATAATGAACCTTGATTGCACTGTACTTGATAAAGAGTGCTATTTTGGTCGCACAGTCATAAAACTTGTGACAAGTGTTTTGCATGTTGCCATGATGTACACACACGTGCGCACGTACAAAAACACACATACACACACACATATTTATTTATATTTACGCGTGTCGTTTAAATTAATGAAAAAGGTAGCCGCAATGTTGGCAAAATAAACGTCTATTACGTGAAATTTTATAATTTATAACATTTTTAAATATTAGTGACTGTATCCTTATCATGCTATTTTTCTCCTACTTACTTCTTAACATCAACTTTATTGCTTTTTTAGATTTTCTATTTTCTTTCTTCCTTATCTTTTACAGTTTGCAATTATGAGGAAGATTTGAGGAAGAAAGAAATGCCATCGTCAAGTTGCGAATCCTTAAGTTTGGTACGCGTAGCATACATATAAGAGCATGTTTAATTTTTTTTTCAATATTGCCTTTTCCAAACATAATGTTATTATATATGGTTGAATTTGTCATAAAATAAGCTTTATTTTGGTTGGACAATTGATTTTAACAATTTGAAAAAAGAGAAGGACGGGGGGTATTTTATACACAATTTTACATTTTTAAAAAATCTAAATATAGCATAATAAAGTACTTTTAAAACCATAAAACTTTTGTCTAAAACATTTTTTCATATCTTTAATAGTTTCGATAATATTCGCTTAGAAAGACAAAAATCAACTTTGTTCAAGGGGTTGTTTCCACCCTTAAAACCGTTTTTGGGCACCAACGAAAAATTGTTTTGTTATTAGGTATATCTGCTCTACAATTATGCAGAGTTTCAGATTTTTTTGAATTTCCGCGTTGCCGAATGTCCCTTGTAAGTCATTCAATCCTTCCCATTACTCCCGCGAAATAAGGGAATCTCTCCACGTGGGGCGGTTCTCGACGATACATTTAGCGTCTGAAGATGTTGTTACAGTTTGCCTTGTTGGTGTAAAAATATTTAGGACATATAGTAACTTATTTAATATGAAAAATATTGTTTTAAAATTACTTGTAAAAGCAATATCTTTAATTCCGTCACATATTTTCCAAAATAATATTCATTTATTTGATCAGAGTCCTTTAGCGGATCATAGAAGTCAATTGCTAAGAATAATTTTGCAAAAATATTTCAATCTTCGCCTTCATCGTGAAGGATCATTCAAAAAAGATACAGTTAACAGAGTAAGATCCAAATATACTAAACTTATACTATTCCAGAACCAATAAGTTTATTATAAATTATATGTATATTTATTATAAATTTATTATTAATTTTATGTATTACATCTATAAAATATTACTTTATGTAACTTATCTTTTTTCTGCTAAGATTTTGTATTCTATTTGTACTTTTATTAAGTTAAAAATATTTTTTCTCACTATACAACAAAAATAAAAACTTGTTTTATTTAAATTTATTTCCCATTCATTAGATCCCATTCAATTGCGCTCAATTAATATTTTATTTCCAATCTCTCGAAATAAAATTTTCCCTTTAACAAAGCTAGAAAATTTTTAAAAATATATACATATATTTTCACGTAATATAGTATATTTATATAATATTAACTTTAATGTAACGCGTATTTTGTTGCCCATAGACATCTACGCTCATGTGCATATTTTCTCTGACGATAAGCCTACGTCAGTGGCTGTCAATAGACGACTGCGCATCTTATCTGCGCAGACAAAGAGAGAAAATTCACTGATGTCCTGCCTCTCTCTCCATCCTGCCAAAGACACGTATGCTCAGTCTATTATATGTCTATGCTCCGGTCCTCCCCAAAAAACTTGACCTAACCTAACCATACTAAACGTAACCTAACCATACCAAACCTAGGTTTTGGTATGGTATGGTTTTGGTATGGTTGGGCTCCCCCCCCCCGTGGGCGCCACCTTGTCGTGATGGGGGGGCTTGCGTGCCCTGATGATGTACAGAGCTATGCCGGCGAGGGCTTCGGCCCCTGGCAGGTTCTACCATGCCGGAGAGGTCTGTGCAGAGGGGCCAGACTAAGAGCGTCCATAATACTCCTGGATGGGCAGCTGCCTCCAGGTTTTATCCAGGGTCTGGAGGGTCTCATTCGTGGGGCCCAAAGGACCCTACAGCGCGGGCAGAGCGGGCTCGTTAGCCTTGGCAGACAACCGGTCTAGGGGAAGGAAAACCCCGAAATCACACTCGTGTTGCAGGGACACGTAAAACTCCTGCATTTATGGAAGAATGACGTCAAAGGAGAAAAGCGCCCCGGTGTTCGGAGCCGGAGCACGGCGGGAGGGGGCGTACGGTCCCGGCACTCCCCGTCGTCATCATGTGACGGGCCAGCCAGCGCGTGCAAGGCGGGCGCGCTGCCCGAACTTTTGGCTACCGCCAAAAGAGAGGCGCTGCTGGACCGGTTGAGGCCGAGTGTGGGTCTGATGGACCCACCCTCGGCCTTTGCCGGCCCAAAGAGCGCGAAGAAAAGGAGACGCGAGGCAGAGGAATCTGCCTCGCCACCGTGGCAAGATGAGGAGGCGCACTTCCCTCCCCTCGGGGGCGTTAGTTCCCACCGAGGGGGGGAGGTGCGGCTCCACATGAAGGTGGGGAAATATCCGCCACGCAACGATGGGTGGAGCTCTTCCCGGGGGAGGAGTTCCCCCCGGCCGAGGGCGGAGAGCCCTCGGCTGGGGGGCTCCTCTCCTAAACGCGCGGGAGGGAGGAGCTCTAAGGGCAGGGCGTATCGCACGCCACCAGTGGGGGTCTCCCGCCCGTAAGGAAACCCGCACGGGAGGCGGAAAGGGGGAGGGATCTACTCGAGGAGGCTTTAGATGGCATAGACTATGTGAGGACTCTCCGGGTAGATCCCTCTATAAGGGCAGCCAAGGGCTACGGGAGGCCCGTGGAGGCCCTAAACGAGGGATTCAGAGAGAGCATTCTGAATATACAGGATGCTCTCTCTGATTATAAAAGGTTTGTGAAGGAGGGCGGCCCTGATGGACGACTTGGGGCCCTGGAAATTCAGGTCCGGGGCCTCAAGTCAGAAATCGCCCGCATAGGGCAGCTGCTGGATTGGTTTTTACCCACTCCAGCAGCAGCAGCTGCGGGCAGCGGGGCCGCCCCCTTCCACCCACCCAGGGGACAGCCGGCTGTCACTGGGGTGGGAGGGGAGGGCGAGTGGACAGTGGTGTCCACTCGCAAGGGGAAAAAGGATGGGAAGGGGGGAAAGTGGAGGGTTGAACCCTCCAAGTCGGTGGGAGGGGGTGCCACAAAAAAGAAGGTGGCACCTCCTCCTATCAAAGGAGGAAAGGTAGCGGGGAAGGGGGCCCCAAGGAAGGGACCCCCTCCCCCACTAAAAAGACCGCAGTTGAGGAATCCCCCGAGCAACCCCGTAGTAACGGTTACGGCGTTGCCGGGGGGCTCCTCCATTAATGAAGTAATTGCGAAGGCCAGGCTCCGGGTCGATCTCCAGGAGATCGGCCTGGAAGCCTGGGGCGTTTAAAGTTAAGCGCGCCAGGAACGGGGGAGTGCTACTCGAGAACCCTAGTCAGGATGGTCGGGACAAGGCCGACCGCCTGGCCAGGGAACTGCAGGACGCACTGCACGGGGAGGCTGTGGTCTCCAGACCGACGAAAAAGGCGGAGCTCCGCATCGTCGGCCTGGAGGACTCAGTCACCCCGATTTTACTGAGGGCCGCGATATTGAAGAGTTCGGGATGCCCTCCAGACGATCTCCAGATCGGGGAGATTAGGAGATCGTCTGGAGGCCTAGGGGTGGCGTGGGTTCGGTGCCCGCTGGCACCGGCCCAAAAGATGCTAACAGCGGGGGGAATCGTAGTAGGGTGGGCACGGGCGAGTGTGAGAGTGCTGGAGGACCGGCCCCTCCAGTGTTACCGTTGCCTACGCTACGGCCATATGGCGGCGACCTGCCAGACCGACTTTGGTCTGGTGGGTCGCTGCTTTAGGTGCGGAGAGGCCGGTCACATGGCAAAGGGGCGCACCGAGGCTATTCGGTGCCCCCTTTGCCACCACGAGGGAAAAAGGGCGGATCACCGAATGGGGGGGATGGCATGTAAGGCGGTCCCCAGGTCCACCCCGAGGAGAGGAGTCCCTCCCCGTAGGAAGAGGAAAAGAAAGAAGGCAGCGCGTGGGGGGGCTGCAGTCGGTGCTCGGCCGCAGCCTCCTGGCGGCGCCGCCGCAAAGGATAGGGACGGGAAACCGTTGCCCGGCCCAAGTAAGGCCGGAGAGGCAGGGGTGGGGGCGGCGGGGGCTGAGTGTTCAGCCTCCGCCATCGATTGACCCGGTAGGACCAGCGGCGGGAGGAGCGACGGCCGCTCCAACGGCGCCGGACCCTCCCTCGGCGGTTAGGCCGAGGGGCGTCACCGAGGCGGAAACAATGGAGGTTGAGGCCTCAGTATCCCTCCTGGCGGAGACGGGGTGGGAGGAGTGGGGAGGTAATGAGCAAGGGTAGCTCTCCCCACCCACTCCCTCACCCCAGGCTCATGGGATCTGCCGGTGCGGTAGTGGCCTCGGTGTTAGAGGCCCCCGCACCGGGACCCATGGGCCAGGTAGGAGCGGTCGGGGGTGGGCCGACCCCTTAGGGAAACACCCCTGACTGCGCCAGGAGGAATAGCCTCCCCCCCAGGGTGTGATCCCCGAAACTGTTTTGGTACGGTGGAGGAAGGAGCCCTGGGGGGAAGACCCACCCCCCGGGGGGTGGGTGCGGTAGTTACCCCCTCGGTGAGGAACCGAGGGGGGGGGTGAGGGGGTCCCATTGGGACATCCACACACCTTCCCCCCGTGGGCGCCACCTTGACGTGGTGGGGGGGCTTGCGTGCCTTGATGAGGTACAGAGCTGTGCCGGCGGGGGTTTCGACCCCTGGCAGGTTCTACCATGCCGGAGAGATCTGTACTGAGAGGCCAGACTAAGAGCGTCCTTATTCACTCTCGGAGGGGCAGCTTCCCAGGGTGTCCAGACTCCCGCTATTTAGCGGGTGACGGAAGTGGCATTAGTTTACTCCGGACTTGGGTACACAGGCCGAGGGCAGTGCGATCGCTCCTACACATATATCGCTCACCATATTGACATACACGTACACACATGTACATGTACATATACGTACACACATGTATACAAGAGATCTCTTGAGACTTGTGCTGACTTCTGCAAAGAAAGAGAAGATACTTTTATTTATATTATTAAATATTTAAAAATACATATATATATATTATTATTAAGTTTTTTTATTAACAATAATTTAATAACATTAGTAATAAGTTTAGATTTTTAAGATAGTAATAAGATAACCTAGATTTTTAAGATAGTAATATTTCTTTTATTATTAAATAATTTATTACAAGGTAAGTGCTTAAATTATAATAAAGCTTTGAAGTTTTAGGAACATCAAGATGGTTTGGAAGTGTTGTGTGCCACAGTGCACATCTAAGACAGCAATACCAGTCCATCGATTCCCCATGGATCGCTGCAGAGCTGAACACTGGTTAACAATCATTGGCAAAACCGAATTGATCGGTGAGTAATGAACAGAAATAGATAAAATAGTATAATCATAATAATATTGTCAGAAATATAGTCATAATATGATTAACATGTAGCATTATTTACATTAAGCAAAAAAAGCAATTTATTTTGTGTTTTACTTACTTTGTGTTTTACTTACTTTGTGTGCTACGGTCATTATCTTACTTCTTGATTACTATTTATTATCATGCAATGATATAACAGTACGCAATATTAATTATTATTAATATTACAGGTGCGCCAAAAGAAGTGCTGGCAAAGTTGAGAATTTGTACGGAACATTTCTCTGAAGAGATGGTATTGCCTTATGGTCCAATACGACGTTTGTTGAACGATAACGCAGTACCATCATTAAAATTAAATTCTTGTTATGTAGAACAGAATGTTCCTGTTATTAATAATTTAGAAGATCATGTTCACTTAATAGAAAATGTTCTGAACATCTCTAACTTTGTGCCAGTGCCCATGAACATGGGCGAAGATGTAGATATATCAAGAAATACCAATAATGAAGGACTGAAAAGAAAATTAAGGATCCAAAGGAAGATGCTGCATAAGAAGAAAAACATAATTAGAAGACAACGTCAAGAAATCCACAGGATCCGTCGAAGGAATAAGTGGGAAGACGTAATGGAGGACATGACAACAACGCAGAAATTATTCTTCGAAATGCTGATGATAAACGCCAAACATGCACCACAGGTATGTTTTGTATGTTAATTTGTATACAATTATGAATGTATATGTACACTTAGTTTTCTTTGTGTTGATGTTATTAAGTATATGAATTTACAGAAAATGTGATAATTTAACTACTTTTTCTATTTATTTATATATTTATAGACATTAAATCAAAGAAACAATACACATAAAGCATATATATGAATTACAATATTAATGCATTTTTTACTGTATAAAAATATCAGTAGCAAAATGCATCTAAATCAGTACATTTTATTAATTTCTTAAAATACAAATTTTGAAACTTTTAGTTATAAATATATGTGCATGCAACACATAAGTATATATCTTGCTTAAAAGTGTAATTATTGCTATTCAAGGATAAAAGTAATGAGAATGTACAAATTTAATACATGTGTTGCTACTTGGCATTTTTCCTTTTATGTACAAATATATTTTTATTTGCTTAATTAATTTAATATGTAGTATTAATTGTATTATGCTAAAAGGGACTTCGAATTATTAGCAATTGCAATATATACACATATATATAAGATATTAATTATAAATATATGTTTTACATAAACAAAATAACATTTAAAGTAAATAAGACTTAAAGTATATGTGTATATATATATGTATACATATTTTATTCTTTTTATTCTCTAATCTTATTTGCTTTAAATGTTATTTTGTTTATGTAAAACATATATTTATAATTAATATCTTGATTTTAAAATTATGCAGTTTTGCGAATATATATATATATATTGTTGTGCCCACACCTTTGGGGAACGTATTGTTCCCACGCTCTTGGGAGAAGACGCTCTGTGAAGAAGGCATATAGAGAATGTGAACAGCTGTTATCGTTGTCAAGGAGTTTGTTTACTAACAACTGGGAATAATAAGAGAGTCGCTCTAGTCCTGTCACAGCGTACGGACGTAAAGCGAATTCGTGCGATTATTTATTTTGGATTGATTAAGATCCGTTTTTCTAGGCTGTAAATAAAGCTTTTCTCGTTTAGTATATCTCGAGTTATTTCTTTCACGCGCGGGCACAACATTTGGGGGCTCGTCCGGGATCAATAACGATAGAAATCGTAGACGTGCTTGTGTGTGAAAGTGAAAGAAAAAGAAATGGCTTTGGCACATTCGCCGAGGAGAACTCGTGCTCAGACGCCGGCTACCTCAGATGATTCATTACGAGCCGTTCTTCAGGAGTTGCAGCAACTAAGGGAGGAACGGCAGCAGGATCAGAGAGAACAGCTACGGATACAAAATGAATTAAAAACACAGCTTGAGGAGCGTGATTCAGCTTTTAAACGCCTGGAAGAAAAACTGGATAAACAGATGAGTCCTTCAAATAATAGTATTTTTGGGAATGAATCTCGTAATGTTATCGATCTCGAAAATTCGAGAATGAATGTTGAAAGAGAACGTATATTTTGTGATGTCAAAGTGAAATCAGATATTTATGATGGGATATTTATGATGCCTTTAAGAGTTCCTTGCACAATTTTCTCTAATATCGCAAGCTAATGGTTGGAATGATTCCGCGAAAACAGTAGCTTTGGCTTCCTGTTTAAGAGGGAAAGCACGAACGGTTCTTTTAAATATAAATGATTTAAAAAAAATAACTTTTAATGAAATAAAAGAAAAATTAGAATTACAATTTGGAGAGGGTGAATTAATGCAAAATTATTATTCACAATTTACAAATCGAAAGATGCTTGCGGGAGAAGATTATGCAACTCTTGGTGCAGATTTAGAGCGTCTTTCGAGAGGAGCTTATCCAGAATGTTCTTTTGAAGTTCGCGAAAAGATTGCTTGTGCACAATTCATTGCTGCAATTTCGGATAATTTTATTAAGCGTTCGCTTTTGACAGAAGGAATAGTTTCACTTAAAGCGGCTATAGAACGAGCAAAGATTTTACAATCAATAAATGAAAACTGTTTTTCACGGAAAATAAAAGAACAAAAAGTCACGGGAGTTTTCTGTCGTTTTGAAGAAAAAGGAAATGGATATAAGAAGGGAAAAGAATTTGAAAGAGTTGAAGCACGAAGAAATTTTAAAACGAGTAAGAATAAAGAAAGGGAATGTTGGCAATGCGGTGGGGTAGGACATTTTCGTTCAGAATGTCCGACATTGCAGCAAAAGGAAAACTAAATTTTGCCGAGCTTCACGAAGCTGGTTCGGTAAAAAGGATTCAGGCTCCGTTTTATAAGCGCAAAATTGATAAAAACATGTATAATATTTGTGGAAAATTGAATGATAAAATGTTCCTTAGTAATTTTTGTTGTTTCAGGGGCTTGTTAAATAATACAACTTGTTCTTTTAAAATTGACACAGGTTCCGATGTCTTGATTATAAGTTCTAGGAAGGTAATACCTTTGAAATTGAGTCCGATAGGTTCTGTTAATTTATTTTACCCTACAGGAGAAAGAGTTCAGGTTCATTCACAAGTTGTTGCTACCATTACTTTGGGGAAGTTTTGTGTACAATTATGTTTTTATGTAGCTGATATAAATAATGATTGTATTTTAGGAAGAGATTTTCTTTTAAAAACAGGTTTAGTAGATGGATTGTTTGAAAGGGCTCTTGGAATCTCAAAGAATAGTTTTGGAAAACAAGAATTAATTTGTTCTAGAATAGAGAAACATTCTATTCAATTTCCTGAATTACTTAGGGAAATTCATGAACAAAGTTCTAAACATTTGAATTTTTCACAAAAAGAGATTTTCTCAGAGTTTCTTATTCAATTTCAAGATTTATTTGCTGAAAATGTTATAGCTGGTAATTGTGATATTCTTTGTCATCATATTAAACTTTTAGATTCTAATCCTATTAAGCAGACTCCTCGTCGAATTCCTATTCATTTACAAGAAGAAGTTTATAAAATTATAGAAGACATGAAAGCTCAAAAGGTAATAGAAGAATCCAATAGCCCTTGGATTTCTCCGGCTGTAATGGTAAAAAAAAAAGATGGTTCTATAAGATTTTGTGTAGATTATAGAAAATTAAATGCAGTAACCATCAAGGATTCATATCCACTTCCAAGAATTGATCAAATTTTAGATTGTTTAGCTGGGAATTCATGGTTTTGTACTCTTGATTTAAAGAGTGGTTATTGGCAGGTGGGGTTAGCTCCTGAGGATCGGGAAAAAACTGCTTTTTCTATAGGAAACGGTTTATGGCAGTTTACAGTGATGCCGTTCGGACTTTGTAATGCTCCTGCCACTTTTGAACGTTTAATGGAAAAAGTGTTATCAGGTTTAATTTCTAAAAAATGTTTCGTTTTCTTGGACGATGTAATTGTTTTTGGAAAGAATTTTGAAGAAATGATTTCTAATTTAAAAGCAGTTTTTCTGCGGTTACAATCCGCAAATCTTAAGGTAAATCCAAAGAAATGTGAATTTTTAAGGAAAAAGATCAGATACTTGGGTCATGTGATTTCTGCTGAGGGAGTTGCTACAGATCCTGATAAGATTTCTGTTCTTAAAGATTGGCCAATTCCTAAGACACGGAAACAAATTTTTCTCTTTTAGCCAAGCCTTTATTTAGATTGACGGAGGAAAATAGAAAATTTTCTTGGTCAACAGAATGTCAGTTGGCATTTCAGGAGTTAAAACGTGTGATGACTTCTTCTCCAATTTTATCTTTTCCTTCTGGAGAAGGTCAATTTATTCTTGACACTGATGCTTCAAATCATGGCATCGGAGCAGTTCTTTCACAGCTTCAAGAAGGAAAAGAGAAAATGCTGTACAATCTTTTCATCATTATTTATATGGAAGGAAGTTTTTAGTAAGAACAGATCATGTTTCTTTACGATGGTTAACTTCATTTAAAAATTTGGAAGGACAGTTGGCAAGATGCTTCAGGATTCAGTGTTGGCACAAATTCATCAAGCTAAAGAGATTGATAAAAGGCCTTCTTGGCAGGCTGTTGCTCCTATGGAGATTTCTTCTAAGATTTATTGGTCTCAATGGGAAGCTATAGTTGTTTTAAATGGTGTCTTATATAAAAAATGGGAATCTCCTAATTTATTAAACCATGTTTATCAAATTTTAGTTCCTCGGGAGAAGGTTTCGGAGGTGTTGGAAGAAGCTCATGATTCACCTTCCGGTGGTCATTTTGGAATTAATAAAACTTTACAAAGGATACGTAAACGTTTTTATTGGGCAACTTGCAAGAGAGACGTAGAGGATTGGTGTGCTTCTTGCAAAATTTGTATAGCTAAGAAAGGTCCTTCTGAAAAAGGGAAATCTCCTCTTCAGGTGTATAATGTAGGTGCTCCTTTTGAAAGAATACAAGTTGATATTTTAGGTCCTCTTCCTACCACTCTTAATGGAAATCGGTATGTGCTCGTTGTGCTAGATTGTTTTACCAAATGGCCAGAGGCTATTCCTTTGAAAAATAAAAGAGCAACCACTGTTGCTAAGTTTCTAGTTGAACAAGTATTTTCTCGACATGGAATTCCTTTAGAATTACATACTGATCAAGGAAAGAATTTTGAGTCACGATTAATTCTTGAGATGTCTCATATTTTAGGAATCAGGAAAACTCGTACTACACCTCTTCATCCTCAGTCAGATGGACAAGTTGAACGTCAACATAGAACAATTTTAAATTATTTGGCGAAATATATTTCTGATAATCAACGAGATTGGGATAAATGGATTTCTTTGTTTCTACTGGCTTTTCGCTCCTCTAAACATGAAGCAACTGGAGTTTCTCCAGCCGAAATGTATCTTGGTCAGGATCTTCGTTTACCTTTAGATCTTCTTCGAGGTCGGCCTCCCTCAGTTAAAGATAAAGAAGAAGAAAAGTACACTATTAAATTAAGGAAAAAACTGGATGAAATTCATCGTTTTGCTAGACGTCGTCTTCAAATTAGGTCTCAAAATACCAAATCTTGGTATGATCAACGTTCTAGACAAGTGACATTTGAACAAGGTCAAAAGGTTTGGTTTTTCAATCCTCGTCGTACAATAGGAAAAGCTCCGAAATTGCAAAGTTCTTGGGAAGGACCTTTTATAATTATAAAGAAACTTAGTGATGTCGTGTTTTGTATAGGCAAATCTTTCAAACATAAAAGAAAAGTGGTTCATGCAGATCGTTTGGCTCCTTTTCGAGAAAGAGATATTAAATAAAATTAAAAGAATCAATACATGTATATACATATACTTGTTTGTTTTCTTTTCCTTTTTCAGAATTTCCCATTCCTCTTTCCTTTTCCGTTTTCCGAGTCGCTGACGTCTTTTTCCACTGAGATCCGTTAAGGACCGCCCTCCTCACGGTTTTTGACCGTGGTTTTTCCGTGAGGCTTTGGGTGAATACCGGGGCGGGGATTAGGGGTGTTCTTTTAAAGAACGTCGGGTCCACGGGTTATACCCCCCCCCTTATCCGAAGAAGAAGCTGAAGAGCGGTGAGCTGGGACTTCGAGAGTCACGTCGACAACTTTTCGGCCTGATAGCTGTTGGGACAAGAGATGGCGTAGTCAAGAGAACCTGAGACAGCAGTCCAGGTTGTGACAAAGGATCGCCAAAGGTGCCCTGGAGCAGCAAAGATGGCTTGAAATTTTGGAGATAGACTTGAAGAAGAGCATCACGAACAACTTTTTCCATGGGATTGTCGGGACGACAATTTTGGAAGAGAGGGGACAGTGTTGTGCCCACACCTTTGGGGAACGTATTGTTCCCACGCTCTTGGGAGAAGACGCTCTGTGAAGAAGGCATATAGAGAATGTGAACAGCTGTTATCGTTGTCAAGGAGTTTGTTTACTAACAACTGGGAATAATAAGAGAGTCGCTCTAGTCCTGTCACAGCGTACGGACGTAAAGCGAATTCGTGCGATTATTTATTTTGGATTGATTAAGATCCGTTTTTCTAGGCTGTAAATAAAGCTTTTCTCGTTTAGTATATCTCGAGTTATTTCTTTCACGCGCGGGCACAACAATATATATATATATATATATATAAATTGATATTAAATTGATGGTTTTTTATGTAATTGTATATGAATCCATACGTGACCACTGAAATTGTCTTTCATGTAATATTTTTGAGAAAAATAGAGTACAATAGTTAAAAAATATGATTTTAACAATTTTTATAAATGAATTTTTTTTTATTTTTTATAAATGAATCAGAGAAAGCAAATTTTTTCCTTACATTGAAACAAACGACTTCTTATAGTACTATTGTTCCTCATTAAAATTAATTTTTATTTGTCAACGTGTTATTTCTTTTGTCTATAGTGAGAAGTTACGCATATTTTATATAGCATAGGAATATAGAATATATTTGGTCTGTTCTTTGTAGCTGCACTGTTGAACTGGCGCAATGAGTTAAAGTGAGACAAATATAAGTTTTCTCACTCTAGCTTGTTGCACTAGTTCAGCAGTGCAGCTACAAAGAACAGACTAATTAATTTTTTTACTTTATGCAACTAAATTTAACAATTATCTTTACATAATTTTTTCTGCGAATTTAGTCTTTTTATACATGAATGTTGTTGACAGTGGTAATTGCAATAACACGCGTTTACATTTAAATTGACCATTAGATGTTTGCAAGTATCGATTCTACTACTTTTTTCTTTTGTGATTAATCGCTTTCTCTTGTGTAAATGCTGCCATAATGCAGTATGATAAGGCACAGTTGAATTTTGCTAATAAATAAATATATCAGGTGTAGTAAAAAGAAATCCATTATTTTTTCAATAGATGGCTTTAGTTATCTGTATCTCGCGTTGTATAAGTCCGATCGGGTTCCACTAGATGGCGTTAGATAGATGAGATTTCGTACTAAAAAAACTTCTGTGACAGTTTTGTGATTAGTTGACTCAGTTTTGTTTGAGCGCGCGTCAAAGATGGACACTAGCAAAGAGAAAATACGCTATATTTTACAGTTTTTCTTCGATAAAGGCGAAAACGCAAGCCAGGCGGCTGAAAATGTGAATAGTGTTTATGGTCCTGATACTGTAACAGCCAATCACGCACAATTTTGATTTCGTCGATTCCGTTCCGGTAATTTCGATGTCAAAGATGTACCACGCACTGGAAGGCCAATTGTCGAAAATATGGATAAAATCATGGACATTGTCGAGTCCGACCGTCATGTAAGCACTGTTTCGATTGCCCAAGAGCTAAAGATTACACAAAAAACCGTTTGGAACCATTTGAATAAGGCTGGATACAAAAAGAAGCTCGATGTATGGGTGCCACACGAGTTAACGAAAAAAAACCTCATGGACCGAATTTCCATCTGCGAATCGCTGCTGAATTGCAACAAAATCGACCCATTTGGGTCGACCATGAAGCGGTTGGTCACTGGTGATGAAAAGTGGATCACTTACGACAACGTCAAGCGAAAACAGTCGTGGTCGAATCGCGATGAGCCGGCGGAAACGGTGGCCAAGCCAGGATTGACGTCCAGGAAGGTTTTGCTGTATGTTTGATGGGATTGGCAGGGAATTATTTACTATGAGCTGCTCCCCTACGGCAAAACTCTTAACTCGGAACTGTACTGTCAACAATTGGACCGTCTGAAGGAAGCAATCGCCCAGAAGCGGCCGGCTTTGGCCAATAGGAGAAGAATTGTGTTCCATCAGGACAACGCCAGGCCACACACATCAATAGTGACTCGCCAGAAGCTCCGGGAGCGTGGTCGGGAGGTTCTTATGCATCCACCTTATAGTCCGGACCTGGCACCAAGTGATTACCATCTATTCCTGTCCATGGCGAACAATTTTGCTGGTGAAAAATTCGCTTCAAGAGAGGCTTGTGAAAATCGACTGTCTCAATTTTTTGCCAGTAGGGACGAAGGCTTCTATGAGAGAGACATAATGAAATTACCTTGAAAATGGCAACAAGTTATCGAACAAAACGGCGCATATTTGACCTAAATCGGATCATTCTAACTATGGTAATTAAAGCCTTCAATTTCATGCAAAAATAATGGATTTCTTTTTACTACACCTGATATATATATTCTGTGAGCATAAAAAGGTATGAGTACTTTGACAATTCCTCATACACAACATATTTTTCCACATTTGTTTATACTTCTTTTCCTTCTTTATTTTTAATACATTACTTACTATTCCACAACATACAAATATTGTTACCATGTATTTCTTCATTTGTACATCATTATATTAACATTAGCGAGTGGATTTGTGTGCATGTAAATACCACGTGATACTTTGAAGAAAATTATTTTTCAAAAGGGCTTACTGAGCAATGAGCTGAAGAAAATATATGTGAAGTATATTTTTCTTATTGTTTTATTATTATGACGTGAAATAATCATGAAAGAAAAGTTTAACATATCTGAAATATTGATAACATTTCTACTGTTTTAGGAGCATATGTTGCATACTGCAGAAACCAGTAATATAGTTTCAAAAAAAGAACAAGCAACCCATGTGATATGTAATATTGATAAAGACGAAACTGTACAATATGTAAGTATTACCATAATTTTGCATGGTGTGAATTTTGTTCGTGATTTTTGCATTCAATTTTTTAATCTTTAAGCATTACTTTATGCTACCTCTTAATTTTAAAATGGCATTAACATAATTATTTATATTTCAATTCTTAACAGAGTAATCCTTTTCCTTCTATAATCATGTACATAATATGGACAGACTATCAAAAAACTATATTTGTAAAAAATGAAAAAAATCGTATTTCTCTCCTCTGTGTGTGTGTGTGTGTGTGTGTCATTTGCTTATTGCAAAAAACCTGCAGTTATTGCTCTTTGGCTAATCTGAGCAGATTATGTATATATATGTAATTTTGTTTATGAAAATTATAAAAAAAGGATTACATGTGCATGTGTTCAGATTTGATATTACAATTGTCTTTATAAAAATTTTGCGATACAGAGTAAATATTATATTACAAATTGATTTTTGCATTATATTAAATAAATAATGAATGCTTGGGCAACTACTTGGGTGAGGAAGACCTTGCACTTTTTTAAGCAAGAAAATAAAATGCATGTTAAGTGAAGGTTAGCACTTGCTGTTTTCATGAAAATATACATAAATAAATCTAACATTGCATATAAAAATGGTGTGTGTTTCTGATACATAATTTTAAAACTATCATATTTCTCCTTACAATAAAAAATAAAGCGGCATAATTCTTCTCTGAAAATTAAAGCGGACACAATTCTTCTCAATGGCGCTTCTATTTATTATCAATATCTTGCTTGTGCTAAATAAAACAGAGTATGCTTAGAAATTGTGTTTATGTAATATGTGCGTACAAGTTATGCATGATATTATCACTATGTAGCAAAATAATATCATGCACAACATTATGTAAAACATAACAATGTTATTGTAATTTTTATGTAGGGTCATCGCTATGGCAGCCAACAGAAGGCCCTGATGTTGACGCTGTATAAAACGATGGGAAAGCGCGCGTATTCTTATTTACGTCAAATTTTTTCACATATGCCATCTATTCAAACGTTGCATTTAGCGCTTCAGAAAATACCAGTCTCCGCAGGTTTGAACACTTTTATTTTGAGACACTTGGAATCTATAGCTCCAAAGATGTCAGTGAAAAATAAAGTGTGCATTCTTATGTGGGACGAGGTATCTATTCAACTCAAGATCACATATGATAACCGTAAGGATATCATATGTGGACTTGAGGATTGGGGCAATAATCGCACCGGAAAGATGGCTGATCACGTTTTGGTATTTATGCTTCACGGATTATACACGGGCTGGAAGATGCCCATTTCTTATAATTTTTGTTGCAAACAAACAAATACAGCGCAATTAGTACGTTGTATTAAAGAACATGTTTCCAAAATTAACGATCTAGGCTTTCACATCGTTGCAACAGTTTGTGACCAGGGATCTTCGAACATGGCTACAATAAAGGAACTGCTACTGCGTACGGACATGAAACGCAAGTCTTCTGAAAGAACTCAGAGTAAGCAATAACAATAAGTATAGTATTTTTATAACAGTGTATGTAAATAATTAATTTATATTCATTTCTTTTGTAAAAGGTCAAACGTTTGAAGTGGGGCAATATGTAATTGTTCCCTTATATGACGGACCACATCTCATCAAAGGCGTGAGGAATAACTTATTAACAAAGGACTTAGCGATGAGCTGCGAGAATGGCGTATCAGCGAAAATTGCATCGTGGGACATAATTAAGACTGCGTGGATTATGGACAGAGAAACACACAAAATTCGACCGCAATTAAAAAAAATTAAATGTGAGTACATTATGGAGGATAAAATTAAGAAAATGCGTGTGAAATATGCCGTTCAAGTGTTAAGTGGTACAATGGCAAGCTGCATTGAAACATTGGCCACATCAAATTGTAAGTATTATTATGTTAGAAAATACAGATAAATAAGAAGTTTAAGGGCAATTTTCATAATCTCCGGTTAACTATAATTACCGGTTATTCTAATGAAATTGACCAATCGTATTTATTGTTGACCATTACTTACTAATCACGGTTGATCGACGATCACGATTGATTTTCCGATAAATTATCGATAAGACTACCCGGAGATTGCAAAAATTGGCCCTAAAACTTATATTATCAATCTTTTTTTAACATTGAAATATATATGTCTTTTATTTATGTAAAATATAATCCATTTTATAGTAAAATAAGTTACATATGGCGTTAAAAAATTACTTAGAGAAAATTGTTGATCTTTGCAACAGATGACACAATTATTTATGTAACATAAAAATGTATGTTACAGGTGTTGTTCGCCACGAAGACAAGGACTTAAAAATAGAGGAAAACGAAGGACTTGCCACCGCGGAAAGTGTTAACTTTTTCAACGATTTATTTGACAGTGTGAATGGAAGTGATAAAGAGTGTGTTGAAGACAATGACAAGACTGCGACAAGCGGTGAGTGAAACAAGTGTTCATCATGTTTTCTGGGTAAGTGCAAAACGTATATTACGCGAAATAAAATATGTTGATAAGATTTCACGTGAAATTATTAAGAATGTGCCAACTGTTACAAACTGGAAATTCACTATAGACGGGTTTCAAAAAATTATGGGATATTTTACATTCACAATTTGGTTTTCATAAATTAAATGCTCGATATTGTAATCAAGATCCGCTAGAAAATTTTTTTGGTCAAATTAGAAGTCACGCGGTTCGTCATATTAACCCCACTCCTTCACAGTTTGAAGAGTCGTACATCACTCTATTACTAAGCAACATGAAGTCAGTATCTATAGTTGGCGGTAATTGCGAGGCCGTTGATGATAACTCTATGTTGTTATCATTAGAAGAGTGTTTAAAAGGTGACTTTTCAGACGTGGAAGTGCATGATGTCGCTCGCAATGACAATGGCGATGATGAAGTGCATGATTTTATATCGAATAATACAGTAGATAATAGTATTTCCGCGTCATTTTCAGCTTATTCTCGCGTAATGATAATTTCAATTCTAAAAAAAGTTAACAATTGCTCGGAATGCGAATCATGTTTCAAAAATAGTGAATTTTTTGTTTGCGCGAAACAAATAGTCAATCGAGTTTTTAAATTATTAAAAACGAGAAGTAATAGGCGAAACATTGCGAAAGATTTTATACAACATTTTAAAGAATGGAATAGGAATATGAGTTGGCATGAGTGTATTGAGCATAGTGATAAAATATTTGATATTATGATTCACGTAATTATTGTTCAATGTATTATTTGGTGGTGTAGAGACAAAAATTTTATGTTAAAAAACTCTAATATTAATTCCTTAATGCGCGATGTAAAAATTAGTATAAAACAAAATAAACGAATGCGTGCGTTATTTAAAGAAAATAAATTGAAAAGAAAAGAGATGTTACAAGCGTATAAAGAGTCCATTCAAAATAGAAATAGATATTAATATTTATTATTTTGTAATTAATATTTTTCAATTCATTTTATTATCAAATTATTTTCAATATATAATGTAATATAATATTTTTTGTATTATATGTATGTTAGGGTATGAGTGCTTAGTTTAGCGAATGGGGCAGGTAGGATTCTTCTACTCTGGCTCATCTGTCTGAAGCAGTCATATTTTCCCTTTCTCTGACAGATCGGGAAGGCATGCCTTCAGGTCGGAGGAGGAGGGGATGAGACTGGAGGAAAGATGTGACGTCCTTAGCCTAGCGCCGGACAGGTAGCATCTGAGAAGAATATTTAGGAGAATGAATGATGGACACTACTCCAACCTCCAACTCAGGAAGCCATGCTTTTTATACGGAAGGCATGCCCTGAGGACGAGAGGCGAAGTATTGCTCTTCGGCGGAGAGAGTTGTCCTTGAATGGATTGTATGATTTTATGTATGTATAGATGTATTGTTTAACTCTGACACATCTTCATTTGTTATGTTATAGCGTATCATTATATTACACGTAAAATTATTATCACATTTATATATTGTTTGTATATTTTTGTAGTGTGGATGGATATTTATTGATGCTGGTGGTTTTAGGCTGCGTTCAGGAAGACTATTAGAACTATCAGCATCATTCTATCCTTGTACATCTAATGAACAATAAAGATAGAATGACGCTAAGAGCGCTATTGCGTCTCCCCGATCGTATCTTTAGCATCAAAATTTTTTAACCTGTGACGTGGCAGCCGGAAAGGCGCCCGTCCCAGAGCGAACCTTCGGCCCGTATGCGAGGGTGCGGGGGGGGGCGGACAGTACATCGCACGAGAATTACGGGGGGGGAGCGCCACCTTGCACTCCCCCGCATTAATTAGTGTTAGCGATAGGAGCGTGCTGGTGGAACGGTCCCGCGTCCCCGAGCTCTGTGCCCCTGGACCTCCTGCGCCGCCCATCAGGACCGGAGGGATCCGTGGAAGAAAGAAGAGGACGACGCCCCCCCGCGGCCAGACCGCCACCCCAGGTGAATGCACTTCGTTACGAATGTTATTATCGATTCCGTATCGTAGTGAAAGATTCTCGCTGCCGATTTCGTTGTCCACAGGCCTGCAGGGAGATAGCACCAAACGGTCGGCGTTCCCGTGCTCGAAACGTGAACGCCGGCTAGGCAAAGCCGGCCTGGGCGACACGACAGCGGGAGTGCGAGCGAGAGAGAGAACGCGCGAGAGTGAGACCGAGACCCGTTCCGCGGATCAACAACAAAGATCCGCGGAAGGATTCCCGTATTGGGAGATGAAACGAGGAACGGGGAGAGAAACGTAGCGAGACATAACAATGAAGAAAGGAGCGACACTGTTTTTGGGGAGAATAAAAGAGCGAGCTCCCGTCTTCGCTCTCTCTTCTCTCCTATCTCGAGTCTCGGGGATCGTGAGTCGGCTATCGGCTAATACGAAAAGTATCGCTTAGAGTATCGCCTGGATCGCTACGGAAGAGTGTCGTGCCGATAACGAACCCAAAAAGGATACCGTTTACCGGGAGTGAGAGGAGAAGGCTTGGTGGAGTTCCACGCGCCCAGGGGGTTGCCGTTGGTGACGGAGTTGCGGAGGAGCGAACCGAGGAACAAGGGAGCGAAGGACCACGCCGCCGGGAGGTCCCGACTCTGTAAGACCGTCCACCTGCTTCACTATTTCGATATCTCGGGCGTACCGTGTCTCGTAGTAATTAGCGGCGTATAGCAAATTTCGAATCCGCGAGAGCGTCTCGCGGAGTGTACCGTTTCGAGGGGGTCGGATCGTGCCGATTCCCGGAATAATAAAGGACTGAGATAATCGAAACGCGTCTCGATTCTTGGATTTTCGCGGTCACTCCCGACTTCCGACGAACCCTTCCCGTCTACCGACTTAAATATCGAAGAGCTACACCGGTCCGTCGACTTCGCGTCTCGGCCCTTTGGTGAGGTGTCGCGTAGCGTTGTGTGAACGGTGCAGCCCGTTGCACCTGGCCCCAACCTATTTCGTGAGATAGGTTGGCCGAGATGCGCGGATCGACGGCAGTTTGCCGACGGCGAGCGAAATCGCGTCGCAAGTGTTATCTTTAAAATGCTACTTCACCGAGCTCGATGTGATCATTTTTCACTGAGTTGTTCCAAATTTTGCTAAAAAATGCGGTTTTCTTGTTAAATTTGCATAATTCAGTGAATAAGTATCGCATCAAGCTCTATAACGAAGTATTTTAAAGAAAACATTCTATACTTTTAGGTACTTTTCGTCCCATTGAGCTGCGACACTTACTTTGCTCCATGCGCCGTCGCACGCTCGAACCTTTTTTTAGCAACTTTTCATGTTCTCCTTTTTATCACCCGCCATTTTGAAAAAATATCGTTGCGCACAATTTCGATAGATCTTTCGAAAAGTACGGTTTCAAAGCTTTCAAACCGTTTTTGAAATTTGCTGCTAGGATATTTAGGTGTCGAGATATTCAATTTCGAATTTGCAACAAATGTCGATTCAGCGAGGCTTAAGGGGCTAAGAGGCTCTGCGGTTCGTTTGGCTCTTTCATAATTTCAATAGCTGTGTTCATGTTTCTCTATATAATAATTTACATAACCTGCACAATATATTCAATGATTTGCATTTATTATTTTGAAAGCCAGGGAAATGAAAGTAAAATTCAATTTAGGTTCTTCATTTTGCGTAATCGATATTACGTAATAAAGATGAATTGCGTTTTAAGATACCGCTGTCATTAGCTCAAATTATGGTTGTAAGTCTTCCCAATATAAACCGCATGGAGTTTTACTGGTAGGAAAAGTCCCATTGTATGTAGTGTGTGTGTGTGTGTGTGTGTGTGTGTATACCACAAGGATAAGGACCCCGTGGTTCGTCAGCTCCACAGTATTTCAAGATTTCACACCCTCCTTGTGGTGTGTGTGTGTGTGTGTGTGGTGTTACAGCAGAGATAAGGACCCCGCAGTTCGTCACTCCTGCAGTAATTAATGACTCCAAACCCTCTCTGCTGTGTGTGGTGTGTGTGTACTAATAGTGGGTATGACTGCCTCGTGCGCGTATTACCTCATTCATACGATCAGGCATACTCCTTATTAGTCTTTTAATTTCATCCTGCGTAATTGTATTCCATTCGTTTTCGAGAATTATTCGCAGTTCTCGCAGTGACTGAGGAGCAGGTACGTGATTTCGTACTTTCCTGCCGAGGTTGTCCCATAAGTGTTCGATTGGATTTAAATCTGGACTATTTGCTGGCCAATCGAGTCGATTTATGCCAACTTCATCGAAGAAATCAAGCACTCTTCTCGCAGTGTGTGGTCGAGCATTGTCTTGCATAAACAAGAAGTTCTCTCCGATGAAGGGTGCGTACGGAACAACATACGGAATGAGTATGTCTTCCACGTATACATCTGCGTTCATATTCTTGTCAAAAAAGTGCAGATCTGTATGAGCATTAGCTGAAATTCTGCCCAAATCATTACAGAGCCTCCATTGTAGCTATGCCTCTCACTTACCGTACAGTCTGCAAATCGTTCTCCACCGCGACGATAAACTCGTTCTCGTCCATCTGGAGAATAGACACAAAAACGAGATTCATCGCTAAAGAGTACTTTGCTCCAGTCTGCGTAAGTCCAGTCTCTATGCTCAACTGCAAAATTGAGTCGAGCTACGCGATGGTGACATTTAAGCAAAGGTACAGCTGCTGGCCTGCGCGAAAGCAGATTTTGTTCCTTTAATCTTCTCCGAACGGTGTTAACGGATACATTAATGTTGCGGACATCCCTTAAATTGTTTCTAATTTGAACAGATGTTCGATGTCTGTCTCTTAACGAATTTGAAACAATAAATCGGTCATCATTGTGATTGGTACATCGAGGACGTCCCGAACCAG